AAGTTCTTACATATTGTGTCAATGAAAATAATGAAATAATTATCATATTTATATAAAAAGCAAAATTTTATATGAATATAAAATTTTGAATATAAATATTTGAATATTCATATTGAATGAAATGTATGAATATATAATTTTGCTTTCCAGGAGATTGTTTCAAGGAGATTGGTTCCCAAATATATTTTGAATAAACTGCATGTAAAGCTTAATCAATTTTTACAGAATTATTATGGATTGAATTATACTGATTCTGTAGTTTTTTTATAATATCCACAAAAAAAGATATTATTAAACATTTATACATAAAACAACTCTTACTGCCTAATTATAGCATTATTAATTCAATAACAAGTATAATTATATTATAAAGCTGCTTCTTAATTCATCAAAAACAATATCTATATAATCAGGAGAAAATATGATTTCATTCTTCTGTAATGTAAATTATTAGGAGACTCAATCTTCAGTTTGGCAAGTGAAAAAATATTGGAACTTAGCACCTAATTACATAAAAGAATTATTAATAACCTATATTGTATGCTATAAAAAAAATAATCAATACTAATTTAAAGTGTTAATGTGCTACTTTTTTCAGGTTACATTTTACTCCTGTTAAAAAGCTATCTGAAAAAGATCCTTGATTATGCTCTCATTTATTTCATTTTAAATAATTATAATTGTATTAAAATTATTCTGTTAAATAAATAAAGTGAGTGTAGACTTCAAGCAGGTAAGACGTGTTTCTCTTGAGCTCCTGGTCAGAATTATTCTAAGTTATAGGTTTTAAGCCTAACATTAGGCTTAGTCTGGTATTATCAGTGTTATAGAATAGGAAACTAGTCCTAAGTTAGGGTTAGCTAGCCAGTCAGGCTTAGGAGTACTAAGCCTAACTTTTTTGCAAACTTTTATTTTGAAAAGTTTGCATTTTGGTGCCATCCATCTTGCCTTCCTTGTCCACAAGAACCAAGAAGACAACATAGGCAGACATCTTGGTTTTTCCAACTTAAAGACTTTAGAAGACAATTTTGGCAGACATAGTGGTGAGTGAACTCATCTATTTTTTGTTTTGGTGGGACCAACCCAAGCTGGGATCGGGTCCCTAGCCAGCCAGTGGATCCTACGGCCAAGCTAGCTTGGCCACTCTCAGCACCCACCTAGCCCATATAGGCCGCCTACACTGCTCCTTCTGGTGTGTCTGGGTGCCTGTTGCATGTAGCGTCAGGCACTGCTAGTGAGGGAGTAGCTCTAGTAGTGAATGTTAACTGTACCACCAGCTTGTTGCGTCGTGCAGACAGTGCCATAACNTGCTGCAAAAAAAAACAAACCGGAGTAAGCGCTCACGCGACCCTCTCCTCTTTTCCTAACTTTTCCCCATCCTCACCCCTACTTCCTCCTCTCCCTCTCACCTCTACTCTTCACCAAGGCAATACCTTTTGGTACGCTTTACTATTCAATCACTGTATCACTGTTAAATAAATAAATTTAAACTTATATCCTATTTCAAAATATTTAATAGTTAAAGACTTATTGAGCTTCATGAGGAATCACTCCCTAATTCTCTTCTAGAATCAGGCAATCAATTATTTCATGAAAAATTTTCAGTAAACAATGTAACAATCAATAATTTAGTAATTATTTGAAATATATTTTTAGCAATTAATTTATATGTCATTAATAGTGTTGTAATGAATAGTATATTTGGCCCCAGGCCAAATACCGAATATTCGGCCAGGAGCGTGGCCGAACAGCCAAATATTTGGCTCGATTAACGCACGTATGAAAATTGGTGCGCAAACCGCATTATGGCAAGGACCCTGCTCTCTATTGGCCCGCTGTCACTACGCTTCGCCAATCGTGTTAATTCTTGACAGTTGTAGCGGACAGACAAGAGCGTCATGACAGTATGTGATAAATGATGATATCAAATGTGGATAACAGTGAAATGACCTACACGTGTAAATAACGGGAAAAAAAACAGAGAAGGACCGCAAAGTGAAAATGTGAAAATAAATATGAAATTGAGTAGATAACATAATCGAACAAATCGAAGCAGCTTATTGGTGTGAAATTTGCGGCCGTCAATGCCAAACAATTCTTGTCATAAGCTTCGGAAAGCTAAATGCTTGTAATGAAAGTCACTTAGCGTGCACGAGTGAAAGCCTGGGACTGTTCGGGCTATCAAGCTGTCTCGAATCTGTGAAATCATAACTGTGACATATACGGATGTCTTATCTGTCTCTTTTCTCCATTATCACCAGGCTATGAGTCACGTAATTATAAAATGGAAAAACTATGACAGAAAAGTGACGAATCGAAAGCGCGTATTATGATGTTTGCATAGGCAATAATGATATTCAAAATATTTAACAAAGGGTTCGCTAACAAAAAATTTTTCCTTAACAATTTTTTTTCGCTCAAATGGTGCATTAGCAACATTAGCACAAAAACTGACCTTAAGATACCCATATAAATAAAAAAGATGCATTCGCAAAATTAAGTCAGTTAAAATTTAACATTGTTTATGCCAGAACTATATTTTTTTGATAAATAATAAATCGTTTTTAGCTCTAATTAGTTAATCTGTTGTTTTTAGACAGTATTTAGGTGAGTATACATTATTTTAGAACTGTGAAGTTATAATTTATTTGGGAAAGTGAACCTTTCCCCTCGCTGTTTCATAGTATGAGAAAATATGTAAAGAATCGCATGTGAAATTGTGTAGTACAGTTAATTCTTGTAAAAGTTGTCGAAATAATATAAAAATAATGTTTTTNATTGTGGGATCTCTCGTATGACTGGACCTAGTTTCAAGAACTCTCTTGAGTTGATAGCGATTAAATCTCGTTTCAGTTGAGATTGAAACGGTCGATGGAGGTTGCACCAAGGCAAACGGGGTATAAGGCTCTAGTTTAGTAGTGTTACAGAATATAATACGTATATTTTAATATATTTTTTAAAAGAAACAAAACCACTGAGAAATGTTACATGTGTTTAACAATGGGTTCGGCCGAACCTGTGCGAACCCGCCGAATATCACCACTGTGCATAGGCATAAGTAGACTAGAGAGATAGAGGAAAGAGAAAGGGAATAGCAAAAACGAGCACTTAAAAAGAAGGATAGGCAGGGTCAAACCCTCAGATATGTGCAATGCTTCTTGAACAAATAGTTGTGTACGTGTGCTGATCTTTGTAATTATAAATTGTGAATACTTGTGACTAATATTATTATTTTTTTTTATTTTGTGCATGTTATAATTTATAAATAAATATAAACAAACAACACTAACCTGATAACATTAAATCTAAATACCAAAATGATTAATTTACTGTGTTTTTGTTATTTCTTATTCCTGTTTTTAGGTTTTCAAATCTTGCAAAGTTGGAAAAAATACTAAATAAAGCTGGAGTTGTGATTCAAAGGATAATAGACCCAAATGAGAGGGAAAGGAGAGAAAGGACAAAAGATAAAGAAGTGAGAAAAGTTGGAAAATTAATAGTCAATATTTGTATAACAGAAGATCTATTTACCCTTTCTCACTACTCTATCTTTTGTCCTTTCTCACCTTTCCCCAAATTTGGGTCTATAATCCTTTGCGTCATAACTCCAGCTTTATTTAGTAATCCTTCCTCATTCACACATCTCCAAGTATTTGAAAATATTTCCTTTCTGCTCAAAAATAAAATATAAATAAAAGTTTACGGCTTTGTGAAACTTCTTTTTTGAGTTTACGCTGTTGAAATAAAATAAATAATAAAAAAATTAAAACATTTGTCAGTTTTGTTTACATGTTTATTGGGCCACATGGAACTTGCCTTGGGTTGCATGCAGTCCATGGGCTGGACACCCCTGCTCTACCTTCTTCATCTTCAAGGCTCTCATTGCCACTACGGAATTTCTAAAATCACCTATCACTTGTGGACCCTTCTCCCCTGCTCTCTTGATACTGGTTGCTGCTTGGGAAGCATTATAACCGAGTTTGAACTCATGCAAGAAAAGTAAATGCATTTCTTCTTTTTTAATCTTCGTTATTAAGGTCTTATATGCTTCAAAATTGTACTCTGATAGAAATTATAGGAGAATTATTAAAGAGTACACATCAATTATTAAGCATGTAAAATTTTGTATAAAACACTACAAAAATAGCAATTACTTTCAATTTTTAAAAGTGAGCCAAAAATCAACCAGTATTTTCTGAATACCAGATAATAGACAACAGAAATCAGACAGAGATTAATCCTCCACTGGTCAAACAGTCAAAAGTTGATATTTTAAATTTGACAAGAAATTTCAAATTGTTTTGCCAAAAGACAACCATCTATTTCTCAACATCTATATGTTACAGCACAGGTTCTCAAACTTATTTCGACTACTGTCCACTTTGAGATTAAAAAAAATCTAGTGCCCCATATTTTTTAACTTACCTTTTTACATTACCATCTGTTGCATATCTTAAAAACAGTTATTGCAAATATAATGTTTGAACATGCATTATTATATGGAAGGATAGATAGGGTGTGACCCATATCCTATTTCTGAGATCAAAGAATGTTTCAATGAGAAGAAATAAAACTCATATTTAATCACTGAGACTTCTACTGCCCCCTGAAAGCCTCCAGCGCCCACAAGGGGGCATTATCGCCCACTTTGAGAAAGGATGCATTACAGTATTTAACTTCTTAGCACTCTTATTTTGCCATAAATCCAATTTGACAACAAAATAATATACCATGCTTAATACATGATGTTAAATGCAGACATGCAGCAATTAAAAATTATCCTCAGTGGCAGAAGCAGCAGCAGTAGCACATGCTAATGTGGCAGGTTATAAACACCAACATTCCCAATTTGAAAAATACAGATTTTAAATAACTATAAATTAACAAAATGGAAACATGGCATTACAGTATTCTTTTATTTATTTAATAAGTAGAATCACTGCTTCACTTTTTTCTAATTAAAAAAAGTATGAAAAACTTAAGTAATTTGAAAAACTTACCTTTTCAAATGTAATTCTTTATTTTTTATATGCCGAAATGTTTTTCCACATAAATCACAAATATGCTTTGGTTCTTCATGAATTAATATATGTTTGTTTATATCTGATCTTTCACATCCCCTTAAAAATTCAAAAATTATTACTACTAATAATAAAAAAACTTAATAATAAATATGAATTGTATACAAATATTTATCAGCATAAATATCTATTTACATTAGCCATCACAATTATTTCTATATACTCTTTTATTAATTATCAAGTAATCAAGTAATGTTTTATTGATCTTTTATTTATTCTATAAACATCTGGTTCTTCTTTGTTGCAAATATTTTTTTCAAATTCAAACTGTTTTAAGATTCCAACATTACACAGTTTTTTTACATATTCTAATTATCTCATTCTAGATTATCTAACCAAATTTCGCCCAGGATTTTTCTTGTACTTCACAAACTATAATTCTTAAGAAGCTATACATTTTCATACTTGTTCAAAGTGTATTTATTAATACTCATTGACATTTATTGTCACCAATTCATTTGTCACATCCTTTATATTGTTTTCTTTCATCATTGATTTGCTTATAAGAGAAAAGAATCAGCATGAAGTAAATCAACAAAATAAGAGGGATGATTTAAGTCTGTAATCCCATATTTTGTCTAAGTTATTATTGCAAAATACTGTAGTTGGACATTGTTGAGAAGATTAGATTTTATCAAAGTCTTATAAATAAGTAAAAACCAGAGCCTGGATTCATAAAAGTCTTTTAAGATAAGACATAATATCTTACCAATACCATAAAATTACCAGAAACTAATGACATTTTATATTTCACATTCAAGAAAACACATTGTAGTATTTACAACAAAACAGAAGAGATTGGTAACAAGAATATGTTTATATAACATCACTAGCAACAATTTCCATTTTAACAGAGCCAATAAGAAGGGATTCCTTAGTGATGTATTTTCAAAAATTTCTCATGCCATGTGCTTGCAATATCAAAGGAAAAATAACATTTTATTTCATTAAAATTAAAATGGGTAGGTAAATTATTTATATATATAATAGATAGTATCTAAAACTTGCTTTTACCAAAAACTGTAACTGATCTAGACATGAAATGAATCTTCCTAAAATTGATACTAGTGATTATATTAATAGAAATATTGAAAAGTTCAAAAGAAATTGACAAACTAATAGTTTTTTTGGTTAAAAAAAATAACATTAAATTAAAACGAATAAGATTTTTTGGTTTGACATTCTACAAACATTTTAATTCCACCAAGAGGAATTCTATCAACTTTTTTTCATAATTTGACAACTTAGAAGTTTCAAATTGGAAATATTTAAAAGAGATGATCAGTAAAAAATGACAGAGCCAAATACTCAAACATCACCTTTCTCAGTACATTACCTTATAAGAGCTCTTAGATATCATGGTAATTACAAGACTTTTTAGTCTTGTAATTACCATATATATTTTTATATTTTAACTTATGATATACTTTATGAATATGAAACTTTTTGCATCTGTCAACTTACAATGAATTTTATTGTAACTTATGATATGAAGTGTTTGTAAATCTAGGCCTAGTCTTCTATCATTTAAAGTGTCATTTGTTGATCAGATGCAATCAATTCATGTAATTTTTTGACCTTTATTAGAATCTGAATCCTTACTGTCCACAACATTTATCATCTATAAACCAAATGACAGCCTTAATTAATCAGGCTATTTTATGCTACAATTAATAATTAGAAATCAAGTAATTTGTTACTAAAAGTAGACATTATGCACCATTTCTTATCAAAATTAATAATTATAATAATTTAATATAATTTAGAACAGTCTGGAAGAAAAGAATTGGCCCAGAACAGGAGTCAAACCTGCTACCTCCACTTACTGGCAGTTATGAGTGGCATAACTGGACAGCGCACCACATGGTAAGCAGAGATTGCAGGTTCAATTCCAACTCCAGGCCAATTCTTTTCTTTCCAGACTATTCTAAATTATATTATTAATTTTGATAAGAGATGGTACTAGAACATAATGTCTACCTCTGGTACCAAATTACTTAATTTCTAATTATTAATTGTAACATAAAGTAGCCCAATTAATTAAGGCTGTCATTTAATTTATTATTAATACATCAGGCTTTGAGATGTTTATATATGTAAACATTTATCATCTTCATAATGTCTCATATATCACTCAAACAACATTAGCAATGGAGAACTTTATTACCATAAAGTTCTTTTATCATTTTTAGATTTTATTTAATTCTTCTTATCTATCTTACAACAATATTTTGTTTGCATTTTGCTTAGTGACTACTAACACTAACAATGATCTTGGGTAATATAAAATATTTAATCCATCTTTGTATAAAATGTATAAATAGCAAATGAAACTTATATAACAAAACAATTGGAGTCATCAGTTATTGTAGACACATTGACTCTTCCTATTATTTTTTGGTTGTGTTATATAATAGAGGGAAAGTATAAAAATGATAAAAAAATGACCACCAAGGTTTTTACATTTTTGGACTTGGAGTCTTGAAATGCCAAAAAATACATAAAAATTTAGGATTTCTTCTGTATGTATGGATTTTAGTATGTGAGGCTCAATTTTGTACACCCTCTTTGAAACTTAATAACTTCTGTGCTTTTTGTTGAAAGTTTTGAAATTTTGCAGAGAGGTTTGTGTATTAGGGGCATTGATGTTATTAAATTTTGATGATTAAAGATCAATGGGGTGGGCAGACAGAGGGGGATTGTATGTCATATCTTGAGTAGGAGTGGACTTGATGATGATTTTATTCATTATTAACATTTACAAGTTTGTTTTTATAAAAAACTCATCCCTACCCTCAAAATTAAGCTTTTTGCCATTTTATAATAATTAAAACAAAGTTTTTTAATAAAATATCATAACAGATGGCACCATGCATAATTTTAAATGTTGTTGGATTTTTTTACATGATGTGACTGAACTTAATCTTAGCACTTAATGTCAAATCTTATTTATTTAAAACCATTACTATATAATATAATAATGGTTTTAGTCTGTAACCAGATCACTCTCTTATCTACTAATAATTTTATAAGGATTATGAATGACAATTGTTTCAAATTTTCAAATATCTAAATTGATTGCTACCATTATCAATATTGAGAGTACTAAGCCATCAATGATATTTTAAATGATGGATTCTCCCAACTCACAATTAGAGGCCTATAATGCTAATAATTGGCAAATAAAACAAACCACAAACTATTACATCTGTTTATTTTCTTTAGATGACTTAACTGTATCAATCATTTGATAATTCTGAGATAATTAAGTTGTAAATATGCATTTTAATAATTTAATTTATGAAAAGTGATATATTGAAACTTTATGTTGCAAGTTAAAAATTTACAAATAATACAAACTATTGCTAACCTGTAATCACATTGATCACATCTAAATGGTTTATCTGGATCATGGGTACGCAGATGTCTTTTTAAATGTGCTCGCCTATTAAATTTCTTCTTGCATATATCACATTCAAACAACACATCTGCTGGCATATGAACCATTTTCAGATGCATTTTTAAAATATAATGATCCTAATAAAAAAAATTTAAGAAATTTGTTTTATTCTTTTATTATTAAAATAATACCTTATTAAATATTATGTAGTGTTATTTTTACCTTATAAGTTTTACCACAAATTTCACAAGTACAGCCATTGTCTGAGTGTCGTAGTAAATGACGTTTAATCACGTACGCATGTTCTGCAGTATGATTGCACACTTCACATATACATTTTGGATGTTGCTCCTAAGTATCGTAAAATATCCAATTTCAAATCTCAATTATATATAAAAAAATAATTTTATCTTCATCTTATTTAAATTTATATTATTAATAATCTCAATAATCTATATTTTCATTTAAATTCAAATTTAAACTCAAACTTCATAAAAACATCAGTTTTTAGTAATTAAAAAACTACAGATAAACTTTCATTAATTGAATTTCAATTTTATATAAATTTAATAACTTTTTCATTAAATAATTTTTAACTTAAAATTATCATTTTATATATGTTATTAAATTTGTTTGATCTAACAGAGTAGACAATATGGTAGAATTATAAACAGACTGAAGTTTTGATTTAAAACAAGACCTATTTTGTTATAAAAGTGATTTCAAGAATGAGCCACTTGCAAATTTTAAACTGCTTGATATTAGATAAATTTTTTAAAAGTATGAATCTAAGAAAAGAAACATTAAAATGAAAACTTCATTTGACTATGTGTATGTACTTAAACATAAAAAAACCCATAATTACATCTATTCTTTTGAAATGTATGCTTTAAAATTTGTTTATAAATAAATTTCCCATTCAGTACTTCTTAAAAATGAACCATCTTTTTAAAAATGTATTTTAGGTAAAAAACTTTTTAATTAATCATAATATAGAAAATGATTTAATATGAACAATTATTTATTGTAACATTGTCATAATGCCGGGCTGCAATTTTTAATCATATTTTTAATTTATTTATTTTAAATTATATACTCTCCACCTAAAACTAGTATTAACCTGTCCTCATACATCATACTTTTCTGTTAGCAATGGAGTCATGCTGGTCATCTATCTAACACCTTTCAGGGGAAAATTTTTGAATTGAAATAACGCTACTTCTGATTTGCATTGGAAGTTCATATATAGTTAAATGGAGCCTCCTGCCCTAAGGTTTCCATATCTGGTCTTGAATTTCATTTATCTAACACTGTTCAAGAGATTAAGGAAAGAGACAGATGAAAGTGGGAATTTATACATCTACAATTTTTTCTAATCGCAGTCTTGCAGTAATTGCAGTCTTCCAATGAGCATATTTTTTGGGCATACAGGCTTATTACTCTAATGTCTTAAAAAGAGATATGGGAAATTAATATATGAATAAAACTAAGATTTTGGTTAAGAACTCTATAGTAACTATTATTGAAAGTAATAGAAATACAAATTAAAACATTATGATGAAGAAATAACATACATATATAATAATGCCGCAGTTCGCTCTTCCCACCATGTCGTTCATGGGGTAGAGGTTAGCGGCTTCGCCTATCGAGCGAAGGTCTCCAGTTCAAACCTCATTGATGCAGGTTGTTTTTTTTTTTTTTTTGTGTGTATGGTCTCCCTGTCTGAGAACATATGTAAATACTAATAAATACTAACAAATTACCATGTTTCTACCATGTCTCTGTAGTATATAACAGCCAGCTCTCAGGCTGAGAGCGGTTCTTGTTCTCTACTACAAGCTGCAGGAGTTTTACATTGTCTGAGTTAATAAATACCTTTGTGTTCCTAATGACTGGTTGCCATTTGTTCCCGCGACAATATATACATATATATATATAAGAATGTTTTAAGAATATAAAAAAGTTTTAAGAGAGTTATATGCTGTATTCTTATCATTAACTTTAAATTTTATGTGTTCATTTTTAAAAAGATGTAAAAAAAATCCACAATTATTAAAAAACAACAAAAAGTTAATAATTTAATAATAGATTAAAAATAATTACTATTTCAATGTAAAAAGATTCTAACTTTATAATGTTTAATAAGTTCTTCTTCTTCAAAACAGAGAAAACTGCAGCATTTACAGTGTTGTGCTTCTTTGGCATGGGTAGAAAGATGTTCTTGATATTGCTGAGGATAATAAGCTTGAAAGTTGCATTTTGAGCAAACCAATTTTTCTATATCCGTTTCTGCAGCTTTTAATCCTGTTCAAATAAACAATTTTCCTATTATTATACATAAATAAATTCCTGATTTTTAATAAGAAAATATATAAGATATGTTTCACAAATTAGTTGAAACCCTTTATTTTTATTCTTTAATACATTTGATTTATTCTCTTTTTGACAACTATATACCAAGTCATTTATTCAACTTTTCAATCATGCTGATCATCTATCTTACTCCTTTCAGGAAAAAATTTTTTAAACTGAAATTAATGTGACTTCTGTTGCAAACTGGAAGTTCATATATAGTTAATTGGGGCTTGCTGCCCCTAAGTTTTCCATAACTGGTCTTGACTTTCATCTATCTAACAATGGTCTTGAGATTAAGGAATGACAGAGAGATGGACAACAGCGTGAATTTATAGGTCTACAATTTCTTCAAATTGCAGCCAAAGTTTAAAAAATTAATAAATATTAAAACTTACTTGAAAATAATTAGTACAGTAGATTAAAGAAATCGAATTATCAGATTTTTTATAATAAAATTATTAATTTTCAAACTAAAATTTTTTACATTTTACCAATCAATTAAAGAAAAAAAATCAATGATGAATCAATCAACAATTGAAAACCAATAAATAAATATTGCATCAAAATATGAATACAGACATCTATATTTAAATTATTTTATGAATTTATCATTCTCTATAAAATCCTCTTTATTATTATTATGTTGGGTGTAGTAGGTCATACTTGGTTGACACTGATTGTTACATACTAAGCCAGACCAGAGTCAAGGCATAGCAACCAAAACAAAACAAAAATGAAATAAATTTATCAGTGTGTAATGTATTCAATATACTGGTGTGTTTCTAATCAACTGTAATGTTCCCAAGCTTTTGTGTAGTGTGTATGGTATGACACCTGTAGAGGAAAGAATGACAGGTACAGTAAGTGCAGTAGAAAATAAGGCATTTGTGTGTATGGATAGAGATCCATACTCACAAAAGCCTTATTTTCTGTGTAAGTTCTGCATACTTGCTGATTTTTTTCAGTGTATGTATTTTGTACATTGTGAGTGTTTGGAATGGATATGTCTATAATGTATGTGATTTTATTGTGTTTGTCAATGAATGTGATGTTTGATCTGTTGTGGTAAATTGTTTTATCTGTGATTATGACTCTGTCATAGTACATTTTCTGCATGTTGTTTTCCAATACTGTCTGTGGAATGTATTTGTATTATGGTTTGTGGATGTCTAATAATTTCTTTGTTTGCAAGCTCTTGGTGTATTATATTTGCTATTTGATTATGTTTATGTAAACAATCTTTCTGTGCCATGAGCTTGCAACCAGAAGTGATGTGTTGTATAGTTTTTAGCATGATGTGACATTTTCTGCATGAGTGTTATATCTTTGAGTATGTGTTTTATGTAGTTTTTAGTATTTATGACCTGATACTGTATGCCAATCACCTTCCATCTCCCCAAAGAGGCATCCTCAAGCTAACCAACTGTTTGATGCAGTTTTGTCAACAAAATCATGGGCCTAATTGTAGAGAGCCTTTTGAGCCATGATTGCTATTATTATTATGTTGGGTTTAGTGGGTTATACTCGGTTCACACTGGTGGCTGTTGTTGTTATTATTATTATTATTATTATATTAATACAATAAATCTGTAAATGTATGATATACGAAATATATGAGCTTTAAATAGCATTTTACTTAAATTAATTATTCTGTTTTACACACATTACAAATAAGAAAAATACACTAATCTTTCATGACAAGACCTTGGGGTTAAATTTATTATTTTTACAGCACATTTAATCATAGTCTTTTTCCTACTTCAAAATGTCAGTTATAAATTAACTTAAAATTTTGATAACTTTTATATTCATTATTACTAAATCAATCAATCAAATAATTTTATTTATTAATTCATATAAAGAATGCATAAAACATTAAGTACTGAGTTTATTGTTTATTTATGCAGAATTTCAACAAAAAAAATTTATATCAAAATTATATTCTAAATTTTAAAAAGTATATGACAATAAATAAATGAAATAAAACTCTAACAACATATAATACTGCCAAAAAACTTTGCAATATAAAGGATTTAGTGTATGTTCGTAAAATAATTTATGTCAATTAATAGAAATATATAGAAAGACTAAAATGTCCTCACTCTCACCATGTCCAATCACTGGAAATAACAATCTTCCACTGCAGAGATTACCTTTCTTTAGAGACTATGCCCCTGCATAAACATGCAAAAAAGTCTAAAAGTCATTTCCAGCAATTGGACATGACAAAAGTGAAGACATTTTAGTCTTTCTACATATTTTTACTAATATGTAAATCCGTCAGCCAATTTTTAAAAAAGGATTTATGTTAATTTCTTTACCTTGACAGATATAAAATACAAGGGCTATCTGGAAAGTAACTTCTGTTTTCATGAGGTGCTGACAGAAGTGGAGGCAATGGCCCCGATTTTTGCAACAGTGTAGAGTGAGTTGTATGCATCCAGCATTGGAAGGGTCCAAGTTGTGCTCTCTGTTGTCTTACCACATATGCCATTGAGAATCCTGCTAGCTGTGAGGTAAACTCAGTGATAAGATTTCTGTTAGCCAAAAACTATGAAATTGTTGAAATTCATCAACTATGCAAAATTTATGCAGAGAACATAATGTGTGAGAATGGAGTATACAATGATGACATATGTTCAAAAATGTGCAGACAGATGTCCATAATGAGCAGAGAGGTGGCTGGCTACTTGTGGTGACTGAGGAATTTGTACAAAAGATTGATGAAAAGGTTAGAGAGAATTGCAGATTTACAATTTCAAAACTTTCTAATAAGTTTCCAGATTTTGCACACAGTTCTTCATGAAGTAGTCATTGACATGATTGAAATCACAGGGGACAGAATTTTATCATAATAGAATACATGTTATGGCAAGTGTTTAAATTTGGCTAGAGACTATGTTGAAAAATAAAGCTGTGTATTATAAAATTCCTTTCACTGTACTGATGTTTTATTTTTATCAATTTCCAAACAAAAATTATTGAACTATAAAATTAAAATTAAAAGCAATGGGATCTGTTATTAAATAAATTAATTAAAATAATAATTCTAAAAAAGTATATTTCTAGAAATAAACGAGTTAAAATTACTCTTTCAACACAGAGATGGATCACAATTTAAATTTAATATTTATTTCTTACTATATTTTCCAAATGCATTTCGCCTGTTGTCCTCATCAGTGGATACAACGTTTTACATTTTTAGTACTTTTATACTCAATCACAGTATCCCAGCATGCATCTACATATTATGCAACATGCATTATGTAAATACAATTAATTTAAATACTGGCATATGCATAGAGGCATGCTGGGATACTGTGATTAAGTATAAAAGTACTAAAAATGTAAAACATTGTATCCACTGATGAGGCCAACAGGCGAAATGCATTTGGAAAATATAGTAAGAAATAAATATTAAATTTAAATTGTGATCCATATCTGTGTTAAATTTCTCTGGATAGAAGAGAGTAATTTTAACTCATTTATTTCTGGAAATATACTTTTTTAGAATTATTATTTTAATTAAACAAAAATTACTTTCTTGATAGCCCTTGTATAGTCCAATAATAAAATTTATTAGAAAAGATACTTTGCAAACTTGGAAACTACTTTAATAAATGATAAAGGAAAAAGTAAACATTTTTGATCAACAATTAGAAAATTCTGGATTAACATCGATTCCAGCAACAACTCTCCAAAAATAAATTTTGAAACAGGTTAAATTTCTGTGGGCGATTTCCAAAAATCCTTTCTATTCAATTTTCTTCAACTATAAAACCACTTCATAACGAATATCTAGATTCAAAATTCACAAAAGAATTAAATGACTTAATCAATAGGAAGCACAGTAATTCATCACTGAGAAGTGACCATATCCTGACTAAATTTCTTAAATTACTACCAAATTCAGCAAGATCTGTTACTTGATATATTCAACAAAATGTACAACACACTTTCATATCCTGATTCATGGAATTCTGTTTAGCTCTATATGATATTCAAAAGGGGAGATAAACTCCTTCCTAACAATTACTGACCAATATCTCTTTTACCAACCTTAAGAAAATCCTTTATGGCAATTTTAGCAAAAAAATTTCAACGATGGACTAGTGAAATGGATTTAGAATCCAAATTTCAATATGCATATATAAAAAACAGAGGGACAGAATCTGTGATATTTTTGTTGCTATCAGTCATTCAACTTCACTTGTCTAAAAAACAAACTATTTATAGCTTTTAAAGATATTGAGAAAGCTTTTGATACAGTCTATATACCACTTTTGGTCCAAAATTTGAGAGAGAAAGGAACAGGTGAAAAGTTCTCCTACACAGTGCTTAAGTTGTTTTTGGACTATAATACTAGTATCATTCAAGGAAACAACATATCTCCTTCATTTAATTATCTTATGGAATTCTACAGGACAATTGCATTCTCCTAACCTGTTTAATTTTTATTTGACAAATTGACCAACTCTTCACAAACTCCACTGATGGCATTGAAATTGCAGGCAGACCTTTTCATTATGTATCATTTGCAGATGACTTAGTTCTTATGACACCAACAAAAATTTCTTTACAAAGGAAAATCAACCATTTAATTTATTCTTTAAATCATTGCACCTATCAATTAATCCCAATAAAACAAAGATAATGATTTTCAGAAATAACAATAAAATCTCAGAAAAAGAAACCAAACTGTATTTAGAAAATTTACCTCTTCAATTAGTCAAAGAGAATGACTAATGACCTTTGAATCAAACAGAAGTCTTAAATCACATGTTACAAAATTAAATAGAAAAGTAAAAGCAATAATTGATAATTTATTTCTATGCTCAAGATTAAAAATCTCTAATATATACCTACATGTGAGATTGTATAATTTTATAATAAATTCAATTATATATTATGCAAGACCAATTTGGGGTCTCAATTTCTTATATGATCTGGAACAATTCCATATTTACTTTCTTTGAAGACTATAAAAACCATGCCTGGATATGCTATTTGACATGAGACAAATTGACTCTGGTTCTTCCCATTCTTTTTAAAATGTATAATAAAATTCTATCAAATAAAACTTAAAAGTGACGGAAATATAACTTTTTTACACCTAGAAATGTTTAAAACAAAGTAATAGACAGAAAATTAACCAACTATGGCAAACAAAGTTAAACAAACATTCAGTGTAAGTACCCTCTTGTTTGAGAATAATACTCATGATTGGAAATACAGATATTCATTACTTATAGATTCTGCAATATCACAAAGTATAAACAAAGATCAAAATAGCTTATATCAATCAAAGTATCACTCATGATATCCAAAAATACTAAAAATTTCTTCACTACAACCATATATAAACTAACCACTGGGAATAAATGTTAAAATACTAATAATTCAATTACGTTTAAATAAAAACTCATTATTTATAGAAAATAAATATATAGATTTTGTAAATAAAAATTGTTACTGGTGCAACTCAAGCAACTTTTCAATATTACATATACTAAAAGCCTGTGAGAAATTTACTCAAATATGAAAGTCACATGGATATCTTACATAATACAGCAAAGTTTAACTCAAGACTTTAGAGAAAACCTGAATAAACTTTCAGAGAAGGAGCTGTACAGCTTGTATAATTTTGTAATCAAAATTGTGAAAGAAGATGATACTAGCAAATAATAAACAAAATCTAAGAACTTGTAAGAAAATAATTATTAATGAAAAATTTTGATTTTCTGTTTGTAAAGAGGCATACTTACCTCTTGATAATTGTAATTACTTTGCCCCTGAGTAACAAAGCTTCCACCCTTTATACTAATAAAGATTGATTGATATTGATATAATAAAATTTATTATGAAATTGTCCTACTGAAGTCAAAAATATATAACAAAAGATACTAAAATAAATTATTAATCCAAAAGCATGAAACTCACCAAGTTTAACTCCTACAGCATCTTGTTTAGGAAGAATAGCTGGCAAAAGTTTATTGGCAAGAGGAACAACAGTAGTAATATTGTTGGAAGAAACAGTCATCTTTGATGTTTTTTCAACATCTTTTTCTAATACTGCTGAAGATTTTGTAGTGTTTTCTGAAATATCACTGGTCTCTATAGTATTATTATTATTATTATTATTATTATTTTCTTTTGCAGATTGAGCAGGGGATAATACAACAATTGCAGGAGATTTATGAATATTTTGTTTTGCAGATGTTTGTTCTGATATTGGTATGGGTAACTGAGAGGAAAATGTTAAGTTGTCATCTATATTTGTTTCTTTTTCATTTATTGTATTTTCACCTGAAAAGAAAAATTTAATTTTAAATGTATTGTATAAAATAATTGATTTCTTTAATACTACAATGCACTGGTGTTTTTTATATATAATTTTATGTTTATAGTTCATTTGGTTTAAATCTAATTCTCCAGTAAATTTCATATCTTTTATTGTTTTTATGTATATTTTGATTGTTTGTTATACTAGTATAAAATTTCAGAAAATTTGCATTGATTGAATTTTTAAAAATTGAATCTCAATTTTAGAAAATTCAGTCAATGCAATAAAAATTTATAAAATTTGAGTTTATACAATACTTATAGTTTTATTTTCAAGAAATTCTATACATCTAAAACAATGATCAAATGATAAGGCTGAGAGTAAAGCTTGGCTGATTAATTTTATAGATACTATGTATAGTGAAACCTGCTAATGTGACAACCTGCTTAAGTTGACCATTTTGAGCTGGTCCCTGCAAAATAATACATTTTACAATGAAGATATATCACAGATGGTCACTGTACAGTGACCACCTGTCTATTGTAACCATTGACTCCTTTGATCATGTCCCAAGGTAAGAAATCATCCTGGATAAAGTGACCATTTTAAAGAATTTAATTCAATCTGTAGAGATCACATTGCAATTATAAAATATTTAAAACTATTGTACTTTGTATATAAGGAATTTAAACTAAATTTTCTATAATCTTTTGAAATCTTTATAATATTAAGTAAAAGAAACAGCAGTTTGAAAAATTTTAAATAATCTGTAACATAAATTAAAAACACCACTAGTATGAGAATCCGAACTTTAACAAAAATCAGTCAGAGATGTCATCATACTCATTCTATAATTGTTGTCATCTACTACCTGACAGAATCTTCACTTACACTTTCTTGATGGCAAAACAACGCATTCCCGTAACCTGCTGACTTCTTGGCCAGACGATATTGTGCTAATAGCATCATTAACAACCAAAGAGTCAGTTGCTGTTTTAGTTTTTCCCGAGTCAAAAAGTCACCACCCTAAGGATAATTGTCGCCAGTACCTTGACCAATACTCTGTGCCTCCAAAATGGATTATACTATCAACTTGGACCCAAACTGCCTCTGAATTGGAATAACTTCATCGTCAAAACCCAAATAATTTGAGATTCTATCGACATCAAATCTACTCCTGGAAAGGGACATTTACCTCACTAATTAGTCGAATATACATTAGCCAGAACTGTTATCATCCTCTCCTGCATCCAGACTACAACTAGATCCTTCAACTACAGGTATTTATCAACATACAAACCTCATGTAAACTCTCTCTCATGTGACCTATTTGTCTATAAGCCTCTTAAAACTAATGTCTAATGAAATTGTAAAATTTATCAAGTTTTCTTTGAAATTAAATCATTATGTTGTTAAACTGGCATCTGAGTGATTCTCTTCTGGTACGCTGTCTCTCAACCCATTGCCATCCAGAATCCGATCACCTGCATACATGGCCGCTCATTTGACCTACATTCTAATCTTAATCAACACATCGTCTCGGCTTCCATGTCAAACAAGACATGGTGGTGTCAGTTGTGACAGATGCTAAAGAGGGTCAAACTAGCAATGCACCAGCACTGTGCAATTTTTAGCAGCAGCACTGGAGGCAAATTTAAACATTTATGTTATGATATAGATCATGCCAGGTCACTATTGTAGCTTTCCTTGTCAGTGTTTCATATTTTGGCTTTGTTTGGTAAAGTGAGCTGGCTTCGTGTGTTCTTTGCTAATTGTTAAATTTCTTTGTGTGGATTCTTAATTTGAAAGCAAGATTCATTTTTTTCTTTCTTTTTTCAATAATTAACTTTTAGAATGTAAAAGAAAGGATACAAAGAGCTAAATCTTCACAGAAGTGTGAACTGATCCACTTTTTGGAAAGTCATAACAAGAGGTAAACAGTTGAGTTGAGTTAGTAAGATGACCGTAAGTAACATCAAAAAGAGGAACCATGAATGTCTGGATAGATTTCAGATTGTGTCTGAAGATATGAGCAGAAAGAAGACACCAACTAAATTTGATGACATAAATTTCTTGTTGTTATACTAGTATAAAATTTCATTAAAAGTATTGTATAAACTCTGAAGTGGTTTACTAAAATGAGGATATTAAACAAAAACACAGACAAATTTATTGACTACCATTGTGATGATGTGACCACCAAATCAGTTGATTCTGAAGATGATTTTTGGAAGTGTTGTAAAAGAGGTCAATAAAGGGATGAATGAAAGTAGTGAAGATAAAGAAAGTCTGTATCATAATGAAAAAGAGAAGCCATTATCTTTATCTCACAGGAATGTTTATGATATGCTGGAAATCTTTATAATATTAGCCTCTTGCTATGCAACTAGCTGTCCTGAGGTTCTTATGCCAATTTATCAAGCAAAAAAAATTGTAGCTGATGAAACTTTAAAAAAAAAGTAAAATTCTAAAGCAATCCAGGATTGATGAGTAATTCACAAAAAACTGAATTTGTTACACTGTTTTTTCTTCTCTGAGATTTTGTTTAAAATACTGTATATTCAATTGTTTTGTATTTTTTTGTATTTCAAATTAAATTTCATACAGTCAAAGCTTTTCTTATTTCTACTTAAGTGATTTCATTCAAAAACACCTACATTCCTCTTTCTGCATAACATGACCACTTTGATGGTTCACTGTAGTTTGAACTAAAGATAGACAATGAGGCTACTTTTTTGTATTAAATTATTTAGACTATTCTGATAATAATTTGAGATATAATCTCAATGCTTAAATTAGTGTCTGGAAACAAAAATTGAATGAAAGTCTGGGTAAAATAATTGACAATGCATGTGCATGATAAGTAGAAGTCATAGGTTCAACTCCTGCTCTGCTTCTCCAGATCAATCTTTCTTTCAAAGATTCAAATTTATTTTATTTAATTCAAAAATTAGTATAATTATTAAATTTAATGCAAGAAGATGACTTAAATGCCTATCTTTAGTCCAAATTACAAATTATCTATAAAATTAATTAACTAAGTTAATCTGAAGTTAATCATTAGAATAATTTGAGCTTGGTTGTATCTATGTATTTAAATGTTTAAAATAAATTTATTTTCTTATTCAATATCCATTTAGAAATTCATGCAGTTATGTTTAACAGATATGTACTTAAATGTAAAAAAAAATTTTCAGAAAAATGATGTTTTTAAATTTGGTCTTACCTTCTCCATTTTCAACGTTATTTTCACAAAGCTGGGTTTCTGTTTGAAGATTACTCGAAGATTCATTATCATCATCATTGGTAGGCTTATTAGATGAAATATTCTCATTATCAGGTGTTTCCAGCATTATGGACATAGGTCCTGTTAAAGGCTTTAAAAAAGTATTTTTCAAGAAATTATTGATCAATTAAACAATATGGCAATAAATGAATGTGCAATTTATATAATTCATATTTCACATACACACCATTTATCCTTTCTTTTATATCACAGAACACCATATAATTATCCTCTACACTGCCAATTTTTATTCAATGTTTAATTAATATTTTAGCAACTTTTAGGGATAGTTGCACAAGTTACTGTTTAAACTACAGATTATCTATCAGTGGAATAAATTTAACCTTGTCACTAATCTCAACAATAATGTTATTTTTAAGATCAGGGTAGATTGTCAGTATAGCTGGCAATGACTAACTACTATTACTATACTAATGTCAATAAGCTGCTAATTGTTTTATTGCACTGTAAATGAAAACATTCTTCCTGATTTTAAATTTTAAGTTGGTCAAATTACAATGTTATTATTTTATTGTACTAAGAAAAATGTGTTCTTTAACATTTATTTAACAACTAGTTTTATTAGATCTGATATATTTTATTTTTTAGTTGAGGTTTAACTGGCATGCTGATCTACCCTGCTTATATGTGGCATGCCAGTTAATCCACAAAAATATGGTAACAATAGCGCAGCTTACAAGCAAGAATACCATATCACAATTATTTTTGTTTTCTCTTGTTTCTGAACTTTCTTTAGTATGGGTGCATGAAGAGAAACCAGTTTTAGTTACCTTCTTTTAAACGTGCTTTAAGTGTTTTTGTTTATTTAATGTTTGTTCACTCTAATTCAGCATATTAAGGTTTATTCAACCTTATGATTAAAACTTGTGCAACCAGCCCTTAATCATCTAAAATTCTCCAGTTACATTAAAAATGTTTTAAATTTTCAGATTTAATGTCAATTATTCATAACTTATACAACAGGTCTTGGAATAACTATCTTAATATAACTTAATTATTAATAAATTTTCATTTCATTTTAGATAGTCTATTAAATAATTCATTTTCACAGGTTAATTTAAATTACAACAACACTTAATCTAAATTAACAAAGAACCAAACTAATGGTTCTTTGTTTTTTTTAAATTTTTTAAAAATTATTTTGTAATTTACAGTTTGACAGGATTCAGTAAATATATAAGAAAAAATGTCTTTCCATAATTATATTAATTAAATTTTAAAAAATCCAAATCAAACAAAAATTTAAAATAGCAATTAAAATAGTATTCTTGCAAGATATTAAAAAAGAATATTAAGATACTGTTTTAAATTTTTCTCTGTACATTAATTAAAAAGTAAATAATTAGAATAATTACCTGTGTGGCTGCTAAGTTCAAACTATTTGCAATTCCCTGAGCAACTTCCTGCAGACTCATCCCAGAAGGTATACTGGATGTTGGAACTTGCATCATAAAAGACTGCCCTTCTGCAGTTTGGATTAAAAATGCCTGAGTATTTTCTTTTGCCAAACCATATCTTCTTGGTCGGCCTCTACCACGTTTTGCTATAAAAATAGATTAGTAAATATCTTTAAAATCATGTGAATTTTGAGAGATCAAGAGAAATAAAGCTCTGAAACTGAAGTAATAATGTTGCCGACAGAAATCACTTTTATAACTATAAAAGTTTCAAAGAATTTGTATTCTTTAAAATTTTTCTAACAACAATTAAATTTTAGTTGTCCTCTTTCATAATAAGTTAATATTCATTTGATGATAATTTTTAAGTAGAGTTTTATTTTCCAAATTACTGTAAGTACATTATTTATTCAGAATAATAAATTTTTATGCTATAATCTAAATTCTAATTTGAAAATTAAAGACAAAATAATAAAGATAATTAACATAAAATAGATGTAATAGTTCTTTTAAATAACTGATAAGCAAATGTCACTTCAAAGTCATAAATAAGTCACCATCTCCTCTCTTCCTAATTCAAGTTTTCTTAATTAAGCTTTGACTGTTAAGCTCTTAACTTAATATTAAGCATGGAAAACTAACTTAATCATGACTTTACCCATGTTAAATATTCAACAATCTTTATAATTTTATTTCAAGAAATATAAATTTGAAATGATATAACAAACAAAATTATATGTACTGTATTTGTCCAAAAACACTGTGTAAGTTTTATGTTAAAAAGAAATATGGGATGAAGGAATGCATTTCTATTCTACTTGCCTTAAGATATAGCATTGTCTTCTTTCTAATATTTTGATTTTTTTTACTAGTTTTTATTATGATTATTATTTGAATAGCTATTTCTATGACAAATATAAATTATTCAAATAAACAGATCTTACGATAGTGATATTTAGTGATTGATTATATTGTTATAAATGAGTAAATTTCCTTAAACTTTGGAATATAAAGTGTTGTCCAACTCTAGAAAATTTGAAGAGGTAGAATTTTTAAACTCCTTATTTGCCACTCTAAACTATATTACTCTAGACACTGTACTGCTTCAACATTTTTTCCATGCTTTTTAATCCAGGGCTTACTTTTAACTGCACTTTTATTTCCCTTGAGTTGTTTGAATTCTGGGATTTAATGAAGGAAAATGTGGTTTACAGCTTTTTTTTTTTTTAAGACAAATACTAGTTTATAGTAGTATCTTGGTCAATCTCAACTCTACAATTATCCATAACAAAATATTAAAACTGTTACTGTGGGTTAATAAAAATTTCAATTAAGTGTAATCTTGGTTTAAACTAAAACCATTTCAAATTAAAACAATAAATTGTAAAAATAAACTACATTTTGTAATATTTTTAAAATGGAAAATTTTTTTATTGTCTTTGTATATTGTATTTTGACAGACACATAAAATTTTGTATTTTATATGTCTGTCAAAATACAAAACACAAAGACAATACAAAATTTTTCCATTTTAAAAATATTACAAAATATACAATTTTGTTTGATGATTGATTAAACAAAATACACTAAATTAGACTGCCACATCTATAACTGCAGAAATTAATAAGCATAATCAAAATTTCATATTTACATACCACAAACTTTTTATGTAATGACAGTATTATAACTATTGATAATAATAGGTTCTTATAGGTCAAGTAAAACAGTCAATGAATATTTTTGATATGACTGAAATTTTAATGTTGAAATTTACTCATTTATAACAATATAATCAATCAATAAATAAATATCACTATCGTAAGATCAGTTTATTTGAATAATTTATATTTGTCATAGAAATAGTTATTCAAATAATAATAATAACTAGTAAAAAAAAAATCAAAATATTAGAAAGAAGACAATGCTATATCTTTAAGGCAAACAGAACAGAAATGCATTCTTTCATCCCATATTTCTTTTTAACATAAAACTTACACAATGTTTTTGGACAAATACATATAAATTTGTTTATTATATCATTTCAAATTTATAAATTATAAAGCAAATGACATACCAGGTTGCATTAATGAAAGCTGCATTGGACCAGTTGAATTCTGTGAGAATTTTTTTGGTCTCCCCCGACTTTTACTTTTTTTATTCACTGGAGATTGGCATTCCTCTTCTTCAAATTCACCATCACCTTCTTCCTCATCACTTCCTAATTCAAGTTTTAAATTACCTGTTTCATAATCTGAAATGAAAAGAAAAAAACATATATCAAAATCTAAAAATATACCAGTATATTTGTCCAGGCTTCTGGGGTAACATTTGCACTTTCCTGTCCAATTTAAAAAACAAAATCCCCATGTTAGATATTGATGATTTTAGTGTCAAAATGCTCAGTAGAACCCTGATGTGTGCATAAATTACTTTTTGAAAAATTATTTCTGAGAAAAGATATATTCAAAAAACAAAAGTGTCAACTTTTGTCTCTTTGACACTTAATAACAAAAAAGTATTTTGACATTTTTTAGTGCTGTTTTTTGGAATATAAAGCCACACAGTTGCCTGATAATTTTCCAGAGTTTTATGAATTTCGGCTGAACTACAGAAAAGTCATCCGAGTTCAAAAAAAGGAACCAGATTTACATCCCTCATCCCCACTAGATGGTGCCACATTACCTAGCTCTTCAATTGCCTCTGCTGTAACTGCATGCCTGGCCTGTACTGATTTAAAGGAAATGTCATTTCCTTTCGTTAATGTGTCAGTAGTTACATTCTCATCCCATTGGAAATTTTCAATTTTTGCATAACTGTTTCAAATATATGTTTTTTAGTTGTGTCAAGAATCTCAATGACATTATGTTTCACACACAGTTTTCTCAGTTGAGACTGGACAAAATCTCAAACACGGCTGCTTTTAATGAGTGACTCCAATTTATCGAAGACTTTTCCTGCTTAAATGCAAACTGATTTTATCTTATTATTCTTTTATTTTAGTTTACTTTATTTATTTACTTTGGTTTCATTTATTTTACTTTAGTTTAATTTCTTTATTACACTTTTCTTTTTTATCTTTACTTTTCATCATATTTTTTTTCATTTCTCAACAATAAATCCTTATAATCTTTCATTTGTGACACATTAGTGCTCAAACTGCTCACACAGGCTAACTACATCAATAAACATTGTCTTGATGTCATCTATCTAGTTGTTATATAAATTTTAAATTCTCTCTATTCATGCCTGAATTGTATCAAGCTCTAATAGAATGTTAAGATCAAGAATTAATTTTCTTGCTATTTGAACTGTATAAATTCCTAGGGCAAATTATAAATCTATAATAATATTAAATATTTACTGTTATTTTATTTTCCTGATTGAAGAAAGTCTTTAAAAAGTCATAATTTACTCCAAACAAATGTTTTAATATATAAAATTATATAATTATAATTAAATTGTAAAGTTATAAAGTATTGTATTTCTTTATTTATAGCACCATTGGCCAAGTAAATAAAATCACTGATCACTGACAGTTTGTCCAATATTTGTAAGCGATTAATTGGATTTACTTTATGCATCTAACACTTAAATAAAGGAATTCTTGGAGGCATACTCCCTCAATATATTGCCTTATTCTATCAATAAAATCTTTATTGTAATATGCATATAAAAGAATAAAAATAAATATTAGTTTCAGATATTTATTATTTCAAATATATGTATTTTAAATCAACTAATCTATAAACCAGTTTATATATGACTGATACATACATATATGATCAACAAATATCTCTATATCAATCAATCAAAGATTATTATTTTTTAAATCAACCAATACAGATAAGAGTAATACAATAAAGTTTGAATATGTTTAATATATTTATATATCAATTTATCACTGTAGTTAATATTTTACTATATGCTAATATTTTTTTTATGAATGATAGACTTTTCTTAAAATATTTAAAAATATAATAGCATTTAATATTTATTAAATTATTGAAACTTTTAAATGTACAACAACACCAATTACTAAAATGCCAGATGTAATAAACATGTGGACATAACACAATATTTCAGTATTTTTATTATGAATGTCAGAACACAGATTATTATTTATGATTTAAATAATAATCTGTGTACATGTGTACATGACATATGGTATTATAATAAGAGACAAATTATCTTCAAGAATTAAAAGCATTATGTATAAAATATGATATAACAAAACTGAAAAACTTTAAGAAAAGTGCAAATAAGTACGTAATAAACATACAGGTATTGAATATATTAATGCATTTACAACAAAAACAATATAAATATAAAACAATAAATTAAACAAGACTATCATTTGACATTTTCAGTCTTCTGTTATATCAATTACTAAATAAGTAACAATACCTTTTAATGATTGGGCTTGTTTTCGTTTTCTACTGCTTCTTCGAACAATAGCACCATCTACAATAATAATTACTTTATATTAAAAGAAAGAAATACAGCAATCAGATATTTTATATTTTTATAATATATTTTATAAAATTCAATATTAAATAACAGAAAATAAATATAAAGCTTCCAAATCATTCAACAAATTAAGTTTTTTAGATGTCAATTACAGTAAGTCTAATATAATAATAATACTGAAATAAAAAATTATTGAATACATGAATAATATCAGCAATCTTCTATTAATTAAAAAAAACAAAACAAAATAACTTAAAAGTAATTGCTTTGTTTTACAGTTCTGATGCTATAAAAACACAGTAATTTATTTTGTTCATTAATGTCAGATTTCTTACATAATTAATACTTGCTAATTATGGAAGTTATATTCCTATATAAAACAACCATACCATTTATTAGGATCTATGACCACTAAGGTGAAAAGAATAATAATAAAAACATAAATAATGTAGTATAATTTAAAAAATTAACTATATCAAAAATATAACAGCATAACAAAAATTTCTGTAAAAAACTTTAAAAAAATAAAATAAATTTCAAAACTGTTCAAATTGATTTAAAACTTAGCTTTTTTTAAGAAGCATCAATGCTTCTTAAAAAAACTGAGATCTGGATTATTTTGTTTTTTGTTCATTATTTGATTATCTAAATTCACATAATATAAATGCATATTCTTTAAATAATAAATTTTTGTTTGATGTGTGCTTGATAATTTCATATTTTTGAAATTAATTTGAGTGTTTATTTAGTTATAGCAATATGTCTATGTACAATCTGCTAAGGGAGAATGCCTCTCAAAAGGACTATTATGGAAAACTGGCCTGTATTTAGATGTTTGAAAAGTGAAGGTTTAAACCTGGAAAATTTCATATGGCAAATTGTTGGTGAGGTGAGGCACAAACCTATGACCAACTATCAATGTTCAGTGGTTTTATTCAGTCAGCCACTGGTGAGTACTTAGAGAGAAAAAAGTTTAAAATCTTGAAAAAATTGTAAATCCAGATGCTGAAATCAAGACCAACATTTCTGCTGTAAAAGTTCATTTACATCAAAAGCTACATTTCATGAATAAATAAAAAGTTCCTGAAATTTATAGCATAGTAACATAAGATTTTTTAAGCAAACTGTGCTAATGCACCTCAATTACTAATTACTAATTATTTCAAAAAAATATAATAAAATTTAATGTATTTTTAATTTTTACATTTAAACTTCTACACACAATAAAAACAGTTCTTTAGCTGTTTCATATTTATCATTATTAAATGTAAAAGTAGAATAGAAGTTAAATGTATTGGTTTGAAAACTATATCATTATTAAATAAAGAATTTAATTTGATTAATATTTGTTTCAAATTTGTGCATAAAATTAATCCAACATAAGCGTCTGTGGAGGAAGATTATCTGTAAAAAAAAAATTTGTTCATTACAAAAGGGGGGGGTCTTCATTTACAATGTTCCAATGAAGAGAAATATATACATACAGTCGACCCCCCTGTAACGTACGTTCCTATAACGACAATTCCTATAACGTAGCGAAAAAATTGTAGCAACTTTCGTATAACGTACCTCCTATAACGTCGTTTCGCGACAAGATTGATAGAGTCTGGACCAATAGTGGATGAGCAGCCGAACTACTTTCCTCCGACCCTGCGCCACGCTACGGAGCGGCTAAATTGAGTTTGCTATCGTCTGTTTAGTATTATATATAAATTATATATAAATTAGGTACTGTACATATAATTATATATTAATTATATATAAATTAGGTACTGTATATATAATTATATATTAACTTAATTTATTGTAACTTTATTATAATTATATATATGCTTTCTGCCGCCTGGCAACACGCTACGGAGATTTTAGGCTAGTAAGTTGAGTTTATTATCGTCTGCACAGTATGTAAATTAGGTACCGTAAGTCTAATACAGCACTAATTTTATACATTTCTTGTGAAAGAAACACTTCTTATTCAACGTCCATAAAAATTATTTATATTAATGATGTCTCCAAAGGTCAAGTTATTTTTCCGCCAAAAATTCGTTATCAGAAATTGCGGCCGTCGTTTCGCGTGCTGTTCCGCGATGAAAACCAGCTTTAAGCAACGGCGTAGTCGAACGGTGTAAGTAATCCTACAATTTTTTGTTTATAGCATAGTTTATACAGATTATTCCCAAAAAATTATACGTATTTTGGAAATGTTGAGTGGAATTAGTCTAGAATCGGTTAATTTTATAGAAGAAAACCTTTCGAACAGCCTTAGTCCGTAAAGTTCCCACCTATCGGGCTGCGATTGGCTCATTCCTACAACGTAATTTTCGGTTAGCGTGGAACGTATCTAAGCGTTATAGGGGGGTCTACTGTACACTGTTTGAAGTGTATTTATATATTTCTCTCTCAACATACATTGCATTTTTTTCACTCAATTTTATTTCTAAACTAGTGTAAATTAGATTACTCTTGCCTTGTAAACTATTCTGCAAATATTTAAAATAAATTACTTTACTTTTATTTAAGAATAAAGTTGCTTTATAAATTTTACATAAAATTAAAAATATATTGTTCAGATTTTATGTTTTGTTATCTGTTTTATGTTGGTATCTTTCAATGAGGTAATGATCCCATCCATACAGCAAACTCTAAGTACAAATGGATTTTAGCTAATGGGGTGCCTATTATCCCAGCTGTATCTCCTGATCTTAATCTGATGGAAAATCTTTAAGGGATTCTGACAAGAGCTGTATAAACAAATGGCAGCAATATAATAGTGTGGAGTAACTAAAACAAGTTCCAATTGTCAGTAGGAAAAACATAAGCTTATCTATCCTCCAAAAATTCATACAATCAATGCCAGACTGCATTTACAAAGCTAAATTAGCCAAAGGAGGTTTTATTGGATATTAGGATATTGTTAAATATAATTTATTAATATGTCATTAATTGTTTCAGTTAATTCTGTTATATGCCTTTATATTTTTGGGTTAATCAAACTGATTATAATTCATTAAAATTGTTGTTAACCATTTATTGAGACATAAAAAAATAATCATTTTTGGGAGTGCATTTGTGAGAGTTCAAGCAAGTTACAAATAAATTTTAAAGGTTTGCAAATTTGAAACCGTGCAAATAAATTTTTGCAAGACTTTCCAGTGTGAATGGTTTTATACAGAAATCTATTAGTGTCTTTAAATTTATACAATGCACCTTATACTTAATTTAAAATATAGGATCTTGATTTTAGTAATGTCTTTCCCCTGTACATCATACTTTTCCTGATAACAACAGAGGCATACTAGTCATCTATTTAATTCTGTTCTGGAGAAAATTTCTGAACTGAAATCATATCACTGTTTGGTCCAGACTGGAAGTTTATATATAGTTAATTGGGGACTCCTGTAGCTAAGCTTTCCATATCTGGTCTCAACTTTCATTTATCTAACTCTGTTCTCAACATTAAGGAAGGACAGACAGACACTGGTGTTAATCTGGTTGTCTAACCAGATGAATGCCAGCGGGAATTTATAGATATGCAATTTAACAACTACAGTCCAACAATATGTTGTTTTAATTTTCTAAAGGGAATGTACAGAAATATTATATTTTAGCAATTGCCAACAAATTGCAGGTTAAAATAATTTATGTTCTGACTTAAAAAGATGTATCCCTTGTTTAATAAGAGATTTGATTAATGTGCAAAATTGTGACAATCCCTTTATATATATGGCAAAGTTTTAATTAATGCAGTTTTAACAGCCATTTTCACTTAACATAGATATTTTTTCTCAGAAAATAAGGTGTTGGTGAATATGCTATTTAGTGCTGAGGGTGACTTACAATATAGATATAAAGTTTAATTACAATAGTTAAAAAATTTAACACATTACTGCTAATATGATATTGTATTCTTTGTTTAGAAGCTTATTTTAAAACTTTACTTCACATTTTGATTGTGTATAATCAAATTGAAATATTTGCAGATAAAATGGATACCAGGTATATATATATTAAGTAGACTTTTTAAGTTTCATAAAAGATATAACACTATACAAATAATACTGTAAAAAATACTCATAGTGTATGGGGAAGATGCTCCTAAACTTCAGATATGTCAAACTATATTTGAAAGTTTTGTTAGAAATATTTTGAATTAAAGGATATAAAACATACTTTGTTTTTCCAACAATACAGTCTTGATCTGACCAATTTTCCAAAGAAAACAATACTCATTCTATTATTCACTGATACTGACTTTCTCTATATAACATGAACAACAATCCAATTTATTGTTATCACCAAATTTTTAGACAGTTTAGCAATACAATAGCTCAAAGGATAATCCAGTGGACCATTTGGCAATCTTGACTGTCTGACTTGGGTTGGCTGCTTGTCTCCAAAGACTAAAACTCAATTTTGGTACTTTGTAGGTATATCAAAGTCCAATACAGACCAAAATAATCAATCACCTGTGACAATTAACTAGCAGATACCCTTGCAAAAGTAGCCGCCGAGGATAATTTAGCCCTGATAATATACGATAGATATAGCAAACAGATTGTTTGGCAGATGCTATGGAAAGACACCATAAATGACTGGCAAAATAGATGGAGTTCTTACCATAATAGCCACAGTTTTCAGTTCATTCCTAATATAAATTATTTTTATTATCTACAATGGTTCTCTGCAAACTTTTACACTACACAACTGCTCACTAACCATGGAAAGTTTGCAAGCTACTTATTCAAATTTACAAATAGGGAATGCCCTATTCGCCTGTGCCCGGTGTGTCAAGTAGAAGATGGTACATTACATACATTACATTACCCTACATTACATTTACGACTGTGTAGCCCTGGAACAAGAAAAACTGGAACTTATTCTCCTGCTCCAGGAAAGAAATATTATCTGGCCTTGTGTTCCTTCTGACTTTTTAAAGAGCGAAGATGTCTATCAAGCATTCAATAGACTAGCGAAGAGGTTCTCGTTTTTCACGTATCACCATATACAATTGAGGACTTGCTCTTTGGTGTTACGTCACCCAAAATTCTTACTTTGTTTTCATACTTTCTTTATATATGTTTGCAATTTCATCTTTAATTTCATTTTTATATAAAAACACTTATTCTAATTTGTCTTAAAATGTATAAATATAATCTTATGTATTCATGTGCAGTGTGTAGCGTCTTTGTAATCCAAAAAGATAATTGGTAGACGAACAAACAGCAATTGGTTAGAAAACGTTACGTTTTATTTAAAAATTTCTAATAAAACGTAACGTTTTCTAACCAATTGCTGTTCGTTCGTCTACCAATTATCTTTTTGGATTACAAAGACGCTACACACTGCATTTGATGATACAGCAACCACGTCCTCTACTTATGTATTCACTTGTCTGTTCACTAGTTTGTTGGCATATTACTTTGTTATATTACAAAATTTATTACGGATGCATTTTGAGATGTATGAATATTATTTGTAATTATGTATAATTATCTATATACAGAATAATCGTCAACATTCCACTTTGAACATTACATTTTGTTTCTGTTTTATTTATGAAAATACTTATTTTAATGTAAATATTATTATTTGATGGAATCCCTCTCTAACATATCTTACTGTAATTTGATTATTCTGTTAATTTTACGTATGTACTTTGAATTTTATCCATGTAAACATTTCCCTTGTAACTCTTTCTGCGGGACCAGGATGTACATGTTGTTTGTGCAATAAAAATAATGAATGAATGAATGAATGACAATTAAGTATCTGTTTTGCATTTCCTTTGATGCACCATTCCGTCTGGTGGTCTTCCTGCAGCTCATTCATAGAGTGGGACATTCAAAGCAAACACTGTTAAATGGTAATTTACAATCCAGTGCAAAGTGGATACAAGAATGTATAAAATTTTTTCTAATTTCCTATATGTAATTCATCAGTTTTACATTATAACTTTTCGAACAGCAGCATTTTATAGCATCACTTCATGGAGGCATCAGCTGGCTGACCTGAATGAGGTTCTTCCTCAAGGTAAAATGATTTTTATTTGAACTGCAAAAATCATCATTCTACTATCTTAAAAATGGACATTCCTCACTAAATACACCAAACATTTTATTGTAAAATTCCACAAAAGTGTGGCCATTATTGTAATTTTAGTGTGCTTTAACAACCACACTAAAATTACAATAATGTACAATACTGTACATAAAATTACATTACAGAATAATTTTTCAGAAAAAATCATTCTGTAGTCAAGTCTTACAATAAAGCTATCTTTATGTAAACAAATCTTGACTGTGCAGTTAGACTAACTATGAACACTACCTGTTGGAGTTTAAACATGATCACAGTTGTTGCTACTAAATGCACCGACAGTTTCATGGTGCTAAGAGATGTTTCAAGCTGATATGACAAAACTTTTGGAACACTCTTTGTGTATGTAAATAGATCCAATAATGATAAAGAATACAATATAAAGTTGGACGAATACACTTAGTAATAAGTTTTTTGGTTCTTGTGATAATAAAATAGGATTAAAAAATAATAATAAAATGTTCATTTATTAAGTTGCCATGAGAAAAGATGAGATAATAAATATTGAAAAAAATAAAACAATAGATCTGATGAATCCAACAAATGTAAGCAACGATGTTAACTTAAAAATAAGATATAAAATTTTATTATATAGGCAGTGGCAGTTTATGCATTTGAAATGCCTGAGGCAAAAAGTCTGGGGTTCCACCTAAATATTTTTAAATATTTAAACTTAATTAAATACAGTAGAGCATCGATTATCCAAAAGTCAATCATCCGAAAGAATTCCAGTCGGCAAATTTAAATTTTCGCCAGTGCTGTGGCGCTGCAATCTTTGGCTATGTCCTGGGCTACTCAAATATTTTATGTTTTTGATACTAAATTAACTTTTGAAGTATAATTTTTTATTGTTTTTATACTTTTCAATACATTTATTTTGTTCGTACAAAATAAAAAAAATACTTTTTAATGATACAATAGTCTTTGTTAGGCTTAACATCGACAAAAATTCAACGCGAAGCGACACGCATGGAGAAAAAATGTCAAGATGGGATAAATTAATATATTTTTTCGTACATAATCGGTTATCCGAAACATCAATCTTCCGAACAACCCAGTTCCCAATTGATTCGGATAATCGACACTCTACTGTAAATGCAATGTTTTGAGAATTTTGATTATTATTATATTTCATTATTACTGTACATCTGTCAATTTGTTACATATCAATATCAAACAGATCACTTAAAACTTATGATATCAAAAACATACGTCACAGGACAGTAACTTTGTTAGTGCACTTGCTGCCTGCAGTGATCATAAATGTTGTTAGCCAGTGCTGACAACAGTAAACATGTAACTCACCACTTGCTAATGAGCTCAATACAGTATGTATGCAAAACTCAAAGTGTCACTGTCACCATATAAACAAAAACTTTAAATGAAATGTCAATTTTTTTGCTGATTTGGAGGCTCCTCACTATGTATGGTCCAAGACATATGCCTCATATGATGTGAGATAATCACTGTATGAAACTTTTATATTTAATTTATAAAGAAAATAGTTATAGAGAAATTAATTCTCTTTACCATCAGTTGTAATCTCAACCATTCCTTTCCTTGCTTCATCCAAGTTAATATCTTCATCTTCATAAGCTGACAATGCTTCTTCCTGTTGATGTTGCTGAAAATCATTTAAAACTTTCCTGCAAAAATTATCTGATATAACAATTTGTTTTGTATTATTTTATATATTAAAATATAAATAAAGTAATTAACAAAAAAGAGAAATAAAATTAATTTATTGATTAGTAACCTCACAGTTATTCTGTTTCAATATTTATTTCATGTCATTTATGAACTTATACAAAAACTTCTGCAGTCACTTCTTACGTCACAAAATGTTATACTTAGTTTTTCCTACAATTTGATTTTATATCTTTTATTTTTAAAATTTACAAACTTTTAATGGTTGTCTTAGCTACATGTTTTGAATTGTAATTATGTTAGAATATAAAATGTCTTCTGAACTTCAATTCAGCTATAGATTTTACTGGATCATCATCAACTGTATATAATTAAAAGACATTCTGTTTCTAATGTAAACATTAAATACAAACAATTTATTCTTTGTTATACAGGTAACCCCCGTATAACACGGTAGTTATGTTCCAAAAAATTGCCATGTTATGCGAATCCGTGTTATACGAAACAAAGAACTAATACAAAAAGGAGGATTAGGTTCCAAAAATTAAAAAACATGCTATTATATTTTCATAATTAAGATAAATATCTTTATTAAAATTTTCTTAAGCGATACATATTAATATAAATTAAACAATGTTTTCTTCGTCATCACTAAAAACACTATTAATTAACCGAGAGCGTTTTCTTTTTGGCAAGTTATCCTTATCCTCTGAGCATTTTTCTGCATTATCTTCAGATCCATGCTTTACCTTTTGCAAAATGTATGTAATTTTAGATTGCTTGCTTCTAGTTAAAAGGTCTTTATAAATTTCCTTATATGGTGCTAAGCACTTATGAAGAATAAAGCAAGTATGGAATAAGGGGAAAACATTTGGCAACATCAGAAGCAGAAGCGTCAAGATCTGACAACATTGAAACAAATTTCAAGAAGGACCACGTGTATCGACAGAGGGTGAGAAAAGAAAATTTACATACTTAAGTACTAATAGTTCACGAAAATAATAATTTTCAAAAACTATTATTACTTAAGTATGTAAAAATTTATTACATTTCATGTTGTGCGAGGGTTTTACCCAATTCTCGAACCGTGTCAGAGTGAATCCATGCTATAGAAGTGCCATGTTATACGGGGGTTACCTGTAGTATTATTTGTAATCTTATAAATCAAAAATAATAATTTACTTACTATATTGTATTTTTTGCAATTTTTTCAGATAGAGTTAGCTCTTAAGACAAATTAGAGTATTATTAATTAATACTTGATTCTTGGTTAACTATTAAATATAATGTGCTGTCAGTCAACATCATAATACTTATTCTATTTACAATGTCTGTTAAACTGTTCAGATATTATTTAACAATTAGCATTAACAATTTATGATTTATTTCTTAATATTTTCTGTTCACAATTTGAAACTTTTTAATGAATTTGATATTCAATCATAACATATTAAATATAATTTTTCCTTCTAAAAATACAATTCCGAATTATTAATTATTAAATTTTTTGTGGGATTCTTCCTAGCAACTTCACTTAGTTCAAACTTAAAAAACTTAAAAAATAAAATTGCCAAATTCTTTCTGGTATTTATAAATTTAATCATCATCATAAAACATGGTTTTATCAGTAGCTGGTCAGTTTACTTGACATAGCTTATACTATTATTTCATTTGTTTAGACTTAGAGATTAAATTTTGTGATTAAATACAGTGATTAAAATCATTCTAAATTTTTAATCATTTTGTAATATGTTGCATATTATAATATCTCAATTTATATATAATTGTAAATGTAGAATAAACATTGTTCTTGAAACAAGCATTAATTGAAAAAAAATAAAAATATTTATTCACACAAAAATTACCTAAATAATGAAAAAAATAAAATAATGTTTACTTTAAATTTCAAGAAATAACTTCTTAATCAAAAATTATTTTTTAATATATAAAAATATGCTTTTTTGTTTTTATCATAATTTATCCAATAAGTTCTCATTTATTTAGAAAAATTTTCACAAGAAGGAAATTTCAAAACAATTAAAATACATGAAGATTACATTTCAAAATATAATTATTATTTATGTCAAAGCATTCTATATTATGAAAAAAATAAATACTTCCTATATATATTTGAATATTAATTGATTTTCTTTTTGAAACCGTGTCCTGTTTTATATTTGTGGCGTAATAAACACTAGTATTGTGTTTTATTCTAAAGACACAATACTAGTGTTTATTAAGCCACAAATTGAATATTAATGTTTATAATTTCAATTAATAAATTTTCATTTTTTTAAATGTGATTATTTTACTATGCTGATTATTTTTATGTTTTAAAAAACTGATTTACCTTGGCCTTCCTCTTTTCTTCTTTGGTTTATCTGGTTCTTTAATAGGATAAGCAACGACCTGACCTGTCTGTGGATCATGCTGAAGAACACACTTCTGTCCATTAACAACAATTAATGAATTCTGTGATAACTGAATAGGTTTTGACACATCAATCACAACTACATTTCCTGTATCATTATCTAAATTAAAAAAATATGAAAGTAACTATATTTAATGAGTGATTAAGATAATTTTTATTTTATTTATATTTAATGTTTTTTTTATTCTACAACATATTTTTTAAGGAAAATTAAAGCTGTATAAAATCTAAATATATTAGTACTTTAACACACCATTATGATATTACAACATAAATTCACCTTAATTAGCTTTTAATTACTTAGAATTTCTGTTATATTTAATAAAAGTTAAGTCTCATAGTACAATAATACTTTTATAGCAATCACATGACCTCTCTTTCACTATCTGGCATTGTGCTTTATTTTGCAAATACTGTGAGATTTATAACTAGGCTGTTTGGAATGAAGACCATTTTAAGTTGAAGTATAGTTGTATATGGATCAGTATATAATACTTTTATTTCAGGTAAAATTGATATACATAGATTCTTGTTTTCTCAAATGATGAGACAGCAGAGTGGCACTAGGAGTGGGTTAAGTAACCCACATCTAGTGCCACTAAATCTGAATCATATTCAACCATTCTTCCAATAAAACCATTCTTCTTCAGAATTCAAAACTAATTGTTACTCATTGTAGTAAATATCATGGTTTATATATATTCTTTTCAAGTAGTACACTTGATACAATGTAATAAAATTATATCCTGTACATGCATAATCATCAGATTAATGTTATTCATTATAATTAAAACATAAAAACATTTTAAACACATTTTAAAGTTTTTTTGTTCTGCAAATGGTTGGATAAATTTCTAATCAATTATCTGGAACTATAATATATTTATATCTGGAACTACTTGGGATGTAGCACAAATTTATTCAGTACAGGTAGCCCTCGGTTTATGCCACAGTTCCATTCCTACAAAAGCTGGCGCAAATCGAATCGGCGTAAAACGAACCCATATTTACACTGAGGTATAAAGTTAGGTTCTACATAAGTGAAAAATAAGCTAATAATTTTGTTTATATAATATAATATAATACAAAATACATACATACAATATAATACAAAATATATACAATATAATACAAAATACATATATATGTATTTTGTATAAATGTTTAATTTTTAAAATGTATTTTATCATAAAATAAAGTAAAATGTTTTTATTTAAAAATTTTAGTTTTGAATTTCTTACATTTTTTGGAAAAAGTATCCATCTTTAATTGTTTACATTTTTTATTTCTTTCATTAAGAATTTGGAATATGGTCGAATAGGATGCTCCTTTTTACATTTGCACTTCGCTCCCAACATTGTCTAACTCACAAACTTCATCCGTCAAACTTTCTTTCCTTAGTTGAAAGGACACGTTAACCCGACGTAGAGCTACAGATGAGCGAAGACACTGGACGACCACCGGTCGCTGTAGCGCATATACAAGGTCAGTTTGAGCAGGAAAATTCAAGATGGCTAAGGAGAGATATCGTCTGCCCAACAAGAAATAGATTTGTCTTACTAACGATAATTTGTGATTGCCGGAAGTGCTATTGCATATTAAGGTGTTTTCCTGAATGAACTGATACGGGATACATTCATTGGTGCTATGGATTTGGGCACCATTTATTGGACTATTAAGTTTAATATCTTGACTCGTGAGTACCTAAACATTTAGTATTTTAATATTAATTTAATGCAAATGTATACATACCCAATAATATTAAACAGAAAAAATAAATATATTTAATAAAGATCTTTGTTTTAATGAATGTACAATGTCGCGGCTCGGTAAATACGTCAACACTGAAATGTAAATCAGTCTAGCATAGGGAAAATCGGAGAATTAAACCTCGAAACGGTGAATTGCGCAGCAGCATTATTGTGAATTGGCGTAAATTGAACCGGCATAAACCGAGGCTACCTGTATTTCATTTCATGCCATATTTGCTGACATGCAACTACTGCAAAAAACAAGACCATGCTGTATATAATATAATATATTAAACTATAAGAGGCTAAATAAACTTTGTTTAATGTCCAGATAATATAAGTGAAAGAAATTTTTTAAAAGTAAAATTAAATGAAAAGCTTTTTTTGTTTACTCAAAATTTTATTCATTGATAATTTCTTCATAAGCTATAAAAATAGTTCAAACTTTATGATTTTTTTGTTATATATTATCATTTTATTATTTTTACAAAATTTTGATGATTTCAATTTTGAAATTCTTTACATGTAGAAATAAACTTGGTATAATAATATTTAATAAATATTTTTAAATTGCTCTTCATCAAGACTCAATGAAATGCTTGATTTTTAAATTTAAAATTATATATGAGAACTTTGTTCAAAATATGTCAATTATGTTTCAAGAACATTAATAATCAAACAGCAGAGAGTTTTTAATTCCTGTTCTATTGATTTTCTTTAGTATTTGCAGGTAATATTCTACTAAATAAATATCTAATTCTGTAGATATAAATGTAAATAAAATATTTTCTTAATATATTTTCAATTATTTTCATAAAAATTAAATGTAAACTTATTCTAATGAAAATAAATTTGTTTATAATTTTATTTTTAAATTCTGATCTTAAAATGGCAACTTAATATTTATCAATTATTTATAAATAATTTTAAACTGTCTAAATGAGAAAGAGAGTGAGATGTTCTTCATATAATTCTAGATTATAACCAATAATATTTAAATCTGTATAATTATAAAACCTATTAAAATAGAAATTATAGTAATAAATTCTTATTATTGATGATGAAAAATATTAGCCAAATATAATTTTAAAAAATATTTCATAAATCAATTGTTCAATCTCATCACCATAATTTCTTATAATTCTAACAAAATGCTTGAAAACTTTTAAATATATTTAGATAGTTACTGTCTGGCATAGAAGCACTAAACTATTTCAAAAGCAAACCATTACTTTCATACAAATGAAAAAATTTACTTGAAATTCAGATACATCCAATTCTGTTTTTACACAATTTTGATTTAACATGGTATGGAAATACTTCAATTCAGTTTTTACATGATTTGTTTTGATCTAACAAGTTTCAATAAATTTATCTTTTTAAAAGTCTCCGTTTGAAAAAATAAAAATTTCAATAAAAAAAAATATTCATATTTTCTTTTTAAAAAATACTTAGAATTTGCATTTAAGACTGCTACTCATACACACAGAAAAAAGTTAAATTTTAAAATTTACATATGACTTATTTGAATGTGTGTAAAGACAATCAATATTTTATTCAGACCTTATCCTGTGACTGAAAGTGAAAAAAATTTTAATTTGAAGTTTGAGAATTTATATGATTCATTTCTTTTGATTTCTTTCACTATGGAATAGTTTTCTATGCCACTCAGTATTAAAAACTAGAGGTATTTTGATATTTAATTGAAAAAGTTATATAAAAAACTAAAGTTAAAATAAAGTTTATGTAACTAATATAAAGTTATTAAATTTTCCTGATACGTAAGTTACACTTAGCCCTCTTATGATTATGAATTATAACTGAAATATTTTGGTTTAAATATATCTCAGTATATTAATTGATTTATTATATTATTTTTAGTGATTTTTAAGATTGGAATCAATCTTCCACTTTTCCATATGGACGTTATCTTTATACAGTATTTACTCGCATATAGGACGAGGTGTGACTTTAAAGATCAAAATAGAGAAAATTAGATTTATTAATACAATTCTAATTTTATTTTGTTTAATCACAAGTGAAATATCAAACGAATGTAAATGCACACAATGTCCCACAAAAATTACTGGCATTTTAAACTTTAAGGAAAAATCTTGTAAAATTGACAACATAATTTGTTCATGAAAAGCTGGACAACGGGTAACCTTTTTTAGCCAATTCTTAACAGTTAAACCCACTCTCTGTCGATTACACTTATGAGTTTCTCCAAATTCTGATTTCCAAATAATCATCTGTTTTCATATGGGAATGGATTAAAACTTATAATATTCAGGCTCCCATGTGATTTTGGAATTTCAATCTGAAATTTTATTCAAAAGCTTTGCTTTTCCTATTGCTATTCATCTTTACTCTTGACAATATACAAGAACGATTCAAATGAGCCAGATAAAATACTTATGTTTTTAAATACAATAGGGTAAGCATCCGGTAAAAAATGCAAATACACAGTTCACAAAAATTATTTGCAAAAACGCAAAGAATCTTTCACTTGCACGTATAGGACAACTAGGAATTTGAAACTGTGATAAATGAATAAAAACCTTGTCTTATATGTGAGTAAATACAGTATATGCAGTATTTTTACATGAATTTTTTCAGGAATACATCTACAAACTAAAACAGAATTGGGTATACTGCATATTTCAATTACTATAATTACTCATATTGTATTTAACACACAGTATGTACAGAATGTATAATTTTTATTGTTTGAAATAATATGAATTCATTTTAAACAGATCAACAGATTTTTTAAAGACATCTGACAATTCAAAATTAATTTTTTTTAGTAATTTTAAATATTATGATCAATAAGGATTTATTATAAATATAAAGAAGCCTTGATATTTGATGTACAATATAAACCAATAGGTAAAATAAATCCAAAGAAAATCAAACTATAACTATTAAATATATATTACTATACAATCAAATCAACATATGTTATAAAATAAATTAATAATTATTATTTGTCTTATTTTTTTTCTTCATCTACTTTAGTTTCATAGAAATATATAATTAAAATGATTTAAATTGAGTTACTCATTTGTATCTACTACTTAATTATTTAATAATCACTCAATTAAAACATTCTCAACTAATGCATTTCTCAAATTAATGTAGTGCATAAATCAATTAAAAGTTTCAAACAAACAAATAAAAATTCCATTAATGTGGTGTTATTTTTACAAACAAATTCATATATTCAAGCTACTAGCTGATATTAGACAAATAGCTAAAATATCAATGCATACTTAACAAATAGAGTTGTCATCTGGTACATTTACAGCCAAATTTCTCTAATTAGCTGTATGGATATAACTCAGCTATAGAAAAAATTGATTGAATTGAATTTTAAACTTATTTTGTGAAATTTTTGATGATTTAACATTTTATAATGAAAATCATCATCAATATTGTTATAAATAAATTAATTAACATTTATAATTTATTAGATTAAATCAAAATTGGGCTTAGGACTCTACTTTTTTTTTATTACATAAAGTGTCAATTTTTTAAATCAAATTTTAAATTATTATATAAATTAGTGTAAGGATTGCCCTCTAAACAACATTGCTTAATTCTGACACTAATATGAAACAAATCATGCAAATTTGCCAAATGTATAGAAAGCAATAATCTGCTACAAATGGATATATACCAAAAAGAAAACAATACAATCAAAACTAAATTTTCTAAATATATTTTAAAAAGTAATTGGTAAAGATATCTAACTTTTCAAGTTTGTTTACATACAATATGCTCTAATCTAATGCTCAAAGTGATGATCCATAAACAAGTACCAGTCCATAAAACATTGGCTGCTGGTCTGCAGAAAGTTTCCAGGAAATAAAATATGGCATGAAATAATACTGTTAACATTGATATTTATGTTCTCTATATGTACACATGCACCTTATTACAAAGATACTGTTATGCAAGCATCCTAACACTCAAATACAATAATACAGTCCCAAGGAAAAAATATGGACCAGTCTCTAAAAATTGGAAAAAATATACCAAATTTGCCAAATCAACTAGTTTAGAATTACTGTTTTAATCTTTTCAATACACTTTTTGAATATTGCATATGTTTTCATGAAAAGTCATTACTAAAATAAAAAGAAAGTTTTTTAAAAAGTTAGTAAGCATTTTAAAAGCCTATGATTAATCAGATTAACGTGTATTATTTATATTACTCAATTAGCATGCTTTTTCATGGAATTCATTAATTTTATTAATCAAGAGATTAATGTATTTGACATAATAATATTAAATTTAAAAATTTTTGTAAAAAGTGGAGGAAACTATTAAAAGTTACTGAAGTATTATCTATGTTCAATTATTTTAAAAATTTATAAATTTGGAAAAGTTAAAAAAAGTCACAAATTGATTTAATATGCACACATTAAATGTTTAAAATTCAACATTAGTATTTAATAATTATATATATCTAAATTTATTATACAAACCTTTATTTGTCTCATTATTATTATTTACTTCTTGATCTTTCCTCATATTTGATATAATATTATTTGCATCAGATTGTAAATGATTATTTTCTTGTTCGACTTCATCATTTAATACAGAGCTTGAATGACTGTCATCTTGTTCTAGAAATGTAGAAAAATCGATTTCTCCAATTGTTTCTGGCCCAGATGAAATGTTGGAGGTGGAAACAGGAAGAGAATTTGTTGTTCTTTCATGTACATCATCAGAATGATCTGTTACTATGGATGGAGAGTTAGTTACCATATTATTTACTTCAGTCAAACAATTTGTAGTTGTATTAACTTGTACATCTGGATTTTGAATTAGTTGCAAATCTGTAGGATTTAACACTGATGAAACAGAACTTATGGCATCATCGTGAACCATGCTTATAGAAGTAACTGGAATTATATCATTAACTTCATGTAAAGTTATTGATGTTGGTGATATGTTTTCTACAGAATCAGTCAAAACTGATTCAGTAGACACAGGTGTCATTGTTTTTTCTGAAATAGATGAAACTGATATAGATATGTTTGTATTATCTACTGTTGAGGTTATAGGCATTAAATTTTCAGTTGCTATTAGTGATGGCACAGACACTATATTTTCTGAATGTTCCGTTGAAATTAATGGCAAAGACTGAATAGTTTCATCTTGTTTTACAGATATTAATGATACTATATTATTGCTATTGTCAACGGAATGAGTTTCTCCATTTAGAATAATATGACTATCAGTAGAAGATTCTTGTAATGTTTTTTGTACAGAAGACATAGTAAGTATTGTAGAATTTGGCGTAATTTGCAATACAGTACCTGAAACATAAAAATAATCAACATAAGATATTACAAGAACATGCCTAACTATAATAATTAATATGAAATAATTATAATGCTAATCAAATAAAATGCATTAATTTTTAGTGCCTTTATGAAAAAATCTGATAATACAATTTTTTAGAATTTTAAAATTTTATGATTAAGGAAATTAGAAAATCTATGTACAGTACAATGAACTTATACTTTTATAACTTTTTAAAACAGAGCAATTATTTATTGTGACATTGTTATAACGCTGGATTGCAATTTTCCATTACAATGCACTTCAGTTTAGTAGTGTCTTGCCCCTGTATATCATACTTTTCCTGTTGACAATGAAGTCATGCCATTCATTTATCTAACTCTATTCAGGAGAATATTTTTTAATTGAAATAACATTGACTTCAAGCCCAAAGCAAAAGTTTGTATATAATTAATTGGGGCCTCCTGCCCCTAATCTTTCCACATAGGTCTAATAATTTTTTCAAATTGCAGCAAAAAAATAAAAAATATATAGATTATTAAAAAAGTTCCTTTATCATGTATAAATCTACATAATAAAGTCATATTTATTTACATAAATAAAACACAAATAATAAAATGTTAAATAATTAGATTTCAAAGTTATTTGTTTAAGAATTAGCTTAAAAACTGAAAATTTTACTAATTCCAAAAGTACATATTTAACAATGGGAGTAATTACAGATAAACAAGATAATGAAAAATAATTTAACCAATTATTTCCACATATAATTTTATGTTTACAACTTTTTTAAAGCTTCCTGAAAGCAAAATCATTTTGGATATAATTATACAATACACTCTAATACCCTGTTCATACTGTAATTTTTAAGCCAGCTTAACTGACTGTCAACTTAAGATACATAATATGAATAACTTAATATTAAACTGGTTTTATCATCAACAACTAGTTAATTTATATCACTTTTCCAAAAAAGCTTAAGTTACTTCAAGCTTTCCCTAAGGTCTGCCACTAGTTAAAAAAAAAAGTTTTTTTGTTCCCTGGAATTATGTAACTTTGGCATCAAGAATTATTCATTCTTCGATACTGTACAGTAAATTAAATTAATATTTTAGCAAAAAATTTAATACATTTCTGTTAAATTTGTGGGTAAGTAAAACTTCCTTTGGGAGAGATGTTATCACACATCTCTGATGAACATCTGTCCATTTACATCAGAAATATCCAGTCAGATGTTACGAATGCTAAAACCCAATTAGAGAGGAATTTGGAATAAAAGAGAGAGAAATCGTATTCTCAGGGCAGCCGACAAGAATCCAGGACTGCCACATAGAGATGACCATATAGAACAACACTGCCATATAGAAGTGTGGAAGCCATAGGAAGAGCATAGTCCCGTTCCGGCTGTCCATCATCTGTCTCCCATTCTTCAGCCATCTCCATATCAGAAGATCTACACATCAACCAGACTAAATATACTAGTCTGACAGAGGTATTATTATATATATATTATTGTAAACTCTCTCTGTGTTTAGAGGTGTAGTTAGTATGTTTATTTAGTGTAGTTAGTATGTTTAATTTATTTCCTTTTGTACTTCTTATGTATCCATTAAATTTATATTATTGTTTTTAATTTGGATATATGTTCATTGGATTTACACAGACATCCAAAACTGCCTACGATTGGAACTTTCCCACTCGCATCGTAAGACCCTCCTATTCACAAGCCAACCAGTGACCCAGTGAGCAGGTCCTAACATCCTGACAGATCAAAGGGTTTATGAGTAACTCAAACCCCCATATTCTCACATTAATAAGTATATGCTGATTTAATTTAAGTATTTTGAACAACAGGAGTAAATATTTCAAAACCTCCATTGTTTCAGTTAAAATAACAAAATTAATGTCATTTTGCCAACAACAACAACAATAAAAATGTTAGATATAATAAATATCTATCTAACAATTATTCGAAATTGATATTTTAATCTGAACTTATGGAAAATAAATTAGTTTGAAATGGTTTATCAAAAATAAACAAAATTTTATTTAAAACGTAATATAATGTGTAATCACTAGCAAGTGATATGAAATAAATCACTTAACATTTCTCAATGTGAATGAGTAGTTAATCCTGTTAGCAGTAATTTGACTTAATACTTAACTATTAAGCCAGCTTAAAAATTAGTGTGAAAGAGATATAACTTTATGACTGCTTACCTTAAAATCTTGTTTATACAACCACTTGTTTTTTTTTTATGACAACTGTAAAAAAAGTCATGCAGTAGAGTCCCAATTATCCAAGGTAATGTAGATCAAAGTACTTTGAATAATCAAAAACTCTGGTAACATGTTATGTTTAATAAATTATTAAATAAACTGAACTCTGAAGCATTAATGTATAGATATACAGAGCATAACAAAAATCTGTGCCAATGTTTAAGGGATAGATACTAGGGTCAAAAATAAAACTAAAATACTCTAAATATTTTTCAAATTTGGCTTCATTTTTAAGATCTGGTTTGCCAAAATAGCAATTATACATTTGCAAAAAACTTTTTGAGCAGTTCTTGTAAATTATTCTGTTTAATTTTGTAAAAAATGAAATGTTATTCAAAGTATCTTGAAGAGTTCTTGCTTTTCAACTACTTTTTTTTTCGTAAAGCAGATAATACTGAAAAATCTTAACATGGATAAGACTTTGTTTACATTTATTGAGTATGGGCCACTGGGAAACAATTACTTACCTCAATCCATTGACAAGTATAAAAAAAAAAAAATTTCAAAATTACCTTAAAATGTTGATAACTAGTGTCAGTACTTTGATACAAAATTTGAAAAGTATCTTTCTTAAAACTGTTGCATAATTTAAGTTATGCAACAGTTTTAAAAAAGGTAATTTCATCAATATTTACAACCGTAATTATTAAAGCAAATGTGAATCTAGAATTACAATTAAAATTTTAAAAATCTTTTTCAAAATTCATGTTGTCATGAGAACTACCTGAGCATTTTTAAAATTTCTATAGTCCGTGCATTTCCCAAGCATATAATTTTGAGCAACATGCAAGATTCATAAGATGAAATATACTGTACTAATTCTCATGTCTTTGTTTATGAAGTATTTTTTCACAATTCATCTTGGATAATATAAAGTCTCAGCTGAACTGGTTTCAGTTATTCAGGATGCTACTGTATTTAAATATCATAGCAATGTTCTGGTTGGATTGCTAGTGTGCCCTGAATGCACTAAGCCATTCACATTGGCAATTGTTAAAACTGATGCAGGTTTATGTTGACACCATCCTGAAAAAGTTTGCCATGACAAACATCAACTTCATTTCAGTGAAGTTTAAAGATTAGAAATGCAATATGACTCATTTTCTGTTGGTAATTTTAATTTGGTATTATATTGTCATGTAAAAGTGATGAGTTAGAGTACAGATGAAAATACTTTATTTACTAAATGCAGACATTACATAAATAAATATAAAATAAATTCAAATGAACGGAAATTATCTAAGCAGCATACATTAACACTAAGAACAAGAAAAGTTGCTTGCTCAAACAGTTGATGCAAGAGAATTGTAAAATCAAATTAATTTCTGAGTGTTCTTGAACAATCTTTTTAAAAGATGCTGTGGATCTCTACTCATTGGCTAAGAACTAATGTGACAACAGTCCATTTCATTATAATTCAAAAGTTTATTTCCAGAAATAAAATCTAAATTATTATGACACTGAACTTAGGAAAATTAATTTAATCTACATTAGGTTGCTTAAAAATAATTTTTCAAGAACCAAGTGGGTTATAAAAACAAGAGTCTATTATATACATGTATATTTATATAGACCAACCAGACAACTGAAACAAGGCATCAGGCTATTGCTTTGGGAGACATGAATCAAATCAAGACAGACTAGCAAACCCAAAGAATTTTCCAGACATAGCCTGTTCTTCACTACCCAGTCAACCCATTGTGCCTAGTTGAACCCATAATGGGTTTGAAAAAAGACTATCTTATTGCGATAGGGAAAAAAGAAGAATGGAGTTTATTATATTGATATATTTATAAAGGATTTTTTCCCAGAAAGATCAATAACTTTTTTAAAAGGTTTGTATTTTGATGTTTTTTACCTTCAAAAATATTTAATATTTAAATGATACAAAAAGTTTTTTATTTTGGAATGTAGATTTATGTTGCAGATAAAAATATTTGCAAAAATTTTTTATACTGCCTAATTAAAAATTTATTATAAAGTTCAAATCTGAGTTAGGCATTCAGAAGATTAAACATCTTAATTTCTTTCTTTATATTTTGTTTATTGCTTAGTAATAACCAAATACTAATCAATATTGAATAAATTTTGTTGAACTAAACTAGAGTTAGAAGCAGATCAAAAAGGAGAACCAAAAATTATTTATATATACTATATATGTATTTATGTATTTAAGAAAAGATAAATCATATCTCTGTGTATCCCTTAAAAAACAATGTGTATACTTATCTAAATGAAAAAGCTTAGGATCTTTGATTTATGATTAATAATTTTATATATTTGATAAAACTGTTTTGTTCAATAAAAATTTATAGTTATTTATTTTCATCACAGATAGAAAACATGAGGACTTCAGGCAACATTTGGCCCAATAAAATACAAAATGATGTAAATTTAATTTTGTTATTGTCAATTTTGAATTATGAAAATAAGATTTTGTCCTTTTCAAGAAAATATTTATTCTGATATATGCACAAAAAATATACCTATATATTGAATATATATGTATATTTTTGCACAGTATACACAATACACTTATGCAACCAGTAAAACAACAGGAAGGATGTGAATGGTCATCTAATTAAAAAAAAAAGGCCGGAAGGCTTTGTTGAAGGAAAAGTTCATTGGTTTTTATTTTTTTAAAATTCCCCACCAAACCCGTTACCAGAAATTTTACTTAAAAAAAAAAAATTTTTCAATCTCTGGTTTGGGCAAAAATGGTCAATTTTATTAAAAATTGCATTTTAGTGGAGTTACAGATCAAAAAGTATAATGCATTATCCCTGCTTAATTCTTACCATACAGATTACTTTGCATCTGTTTGAAAAGTTGTCTTGCAGGCTGATATGCATTCATTTTGTTGTTACTCCATCTGTTTGCATGAATAATGCTGTCATGCTAATATACATTAATATTATTATGCATCTTTCAATTGCTGGTGACTGTAACAAAACTTCTTGGGAATGATGTGGAAAGAAACAGCAACTAACTGAAAAACAAAAATATTTCTTAATATATGGGACATATATATGAATCAGAGGAAATGATTTTTTTAAAGCTTACGATTCCACCAGAATGCAGTTTTTAGTGAAATAATCTGTTTTTGCACTAAATATGTAAAGTAGCACTTTTCTAATTGAAGAAAAAATGAAGCAGCTGACTATCCATATTAAAAGGTTAGAATATAATAAGACAAAATTATTATATTTAATAATTAAATATGCAATCATAAAAATTAATTTTTCATTTTTATCATAACATTCTAGAATTGAGATGTATAATTTTCATACAGTGCTGTCAAATCCATAAATTAATACTGATAAAAAATATATTCAAAAAGTATCATTTAATTTGGTATTGTATGAGAAAACATTTGGTTAAATTATCATATCTTACCTTGTATCTAACATATAAAAAGTTACAACTTTTAATAAGAAGGATCTACAAATTTAAATATTTCTGAGAAAAAAATATTATGCTTATAAAACTTCCTAAATTTTAAAAATATAATTTAATTAATAATAATTATAATTTTGAAATTAAATTATTATTCATATATTGAAATTTATACCTAACCTTCAGGTAAAGCATTAGCCATGGAAGCAGGTATAGTAGTAGTATACATTGTACATGAATCAGTCGTGCCTGATGATGAGATATTAGGCAAAAACTCTGCTATCGGTAACTCTTCTTCTAGTACATCATTTCCATTATTGACTATGACTTGAGGTACAAGAGATACAACAGATGCTTGAGATCCTTCAATTTCACTCATGACTTGTAAATTCTGTATTGTTTCTACAGACATTGCTGAAATGTAAATTAAAATTTTTAAAAATTTTTCAAGTTTATAGTAAGTGATATTTAATTAAATAAATAAATTTTAACTTGAAAATCATATACAGTCCCTTCAGAAAATTAAAATTAGACCAAAATTAGCCATTAAATTCTAATTTGTATATTATTTTATCTGTAGTCTAATAATACTTTATAATAGTATAAATGTATTAAAAATTCCTAAATATATAACAAATATAAACTTTAAAAAATTAAAAGATATATGTATCAGTGTATATGATATGCATATACATACATATGTCAAAAGCATCATAAGATAAATTAACTAGGATAAAACAGAAATTTATTTAACACAGGAAATTTTTTGAAGATATTAATTACTATTTGAAAATCATCAATTTAGTTTTTAATTTTGAAATTTACTGAATTACTGATTTATTCCAATAGAAAATTATTTATCATCTATTTAATAAAAAAATATAAACAGTTTCATTAAACATCATATTGCAAAGAAATTAACAAAATAAAATCAGCACTTTGATATTAAACACACAGTTTATGAAACGTCTGCTTGAAACTTACGAGTACAAATACTTTCATTTAATAGCTAGTGTAATTTGCTTGCATTATTCCTGAGAAGCATTCGTAGCCACCATTGAACAAAACATACATACAATTATAAAATATAATATTACATCAACATTATGGATGCAAATAGCAATTAATAGAAAAATGAAAATGCATATTACTTGTAAAGTATTTTCTAAGGAAAAACTCAAAAATCTGTTCCGTAATTAACAAACAAGGTCACCTTAATTTACTTTTGTCTATAACTATATGATGGTAAAGATTTTATGAAGCAACTTCCTTATCAGTATTAGGCAAAATAGAATATTTTGTAATCACGAAAAAAGCAATTTAACTAGAAATTTAAAAGAAATTGTAACACAAATTATTTGACTTTCCTACTTTCCACTATATTTAAATATTTAAATCAATAGCTTTCAAAAAATAACTGATATTTTAAAATATCTTATGCCAACGATTACATAAAGAAATCAACTGGTTAAATTACCATGAAACATCTTGTATGGATAAAATACATATAAAGAATGTTGAAAATAACTCAAAACAGTATATATATTATTATAATTTCTAAATGCTCTTATCAGTCTTTTTAATGAATTTTAGAATACAGTGGGTGATCAGTTAACAAACATAATCTGTTCCAAGACTTTGTTCGCTATCTGAGTTGTTCGTTAGCCAATTATCATACATTTTTATGGGAATTTGATTAATTCGTTCTGGAAACCCCAAAAATAAAAACATATACTTTCTTACTATGTTTATTTATATGAAATAAGAAAAATACATATATACACAGTCTTGCATTTTTATTAGTCATGTTTTTTCCGTTTGTGGGGGTTAAAAAATCTGTCTAATGTCGATTGCTTTTCTGTCTTCTTCAGGATTTTTCAGAAGTAATTAATAGCACTGTAATTGTAGAGATCCCTAAGCCTATTAACATCAACCTGATTTGTATGCCATTCTAAGACTTTCCCACCTCAAAAAAATGTTTAATAGCAGATATTGACATTAATTCTCTTTTTCAGAAGAAAACATCTCGCTGAGTTTCTTGGTGTTCTTCATTCAAGAGTTCTTGGCATTTTTCTGTCATCAGATCCGTTTCAGGTTCCATTATGAGCTCTTCAATGTTCTTTATTTTTCAGATGTGATTTTTGTTACTCCTTAAGCTGCTTGAGTCTTCTTGATAATACAGTATCTTTCTCAGATAAGATTGAACTGTAGCCTGTAACCTGTTCAAGCCATACTGCCCAGCAGCAACAGACATCAGACACATCTGAAACATACTGCCCATCTGCCCACTCTTTACCTTTGCTATTATACTCTCACCTTTCAAAAATAAAAACCGACGCAAAACTTAACAAGTGCTCACCCGACAGTCTCAGGAATACTATAAAAAAAATGTTTCTGTCAGAAAAATAAAAGACTGGAATTACAAGGGAGAGTTTCAAAGTTCGGAGGAATACTCTCCAATCAGTATATACTATCAGCATCAATGTTGACATCTCCTGTGATCCAAAAAGTTTCAAACTGTTGTCTGAAGACAAGGGAAGATCAATCAGTATTCATTATTTTATGTTGCTTCTTCTTGTGTTTGCTCTGTGAGGTGTTTGTTATCTGATCATGTGTTTGTTGTCCAAACAAAAAAATCTTTCATGAAAGTATTCGTTATCCGATTTGTTCGTTAACCGATCACCCACTGTACTACATGAAATTTTTAATAGTATTTAAGCTTTTAGAAATATTTTTCTAACTTTTTTAAAAATCTATCAGTCAAATAATTTTCTAATGACATTCTAATGACAATTTTGAAAATCATTGCATCAAAATTTTTGTCTTATATAGTCAAATTTTATCTTTATAATACAGTGGTACCTCAGGATACAAACGCCCCAGCATACGAAATTTTCAGGATACGACATGAAATTCGAACATAATTTTGCTCCACGGTATGAACAAAAACTCACCATACGATGTTACATTAGTACGCAGCGCCATTTTTTATTCACTTCTGTTCATTGGTCTCAGTCCGCTTGTTTGCTTCGTCGTGGAAGGATCTCGCTCGATAAAAGAAATCTTGAGGTATTATCAGAAAGTGCCTGATTTTATTGAAAAGAAACATCCCGGAAAGGTTCACACTGGCCGTATTGCTGCTCGGAGTAATGACATTTGCCTAAGTCATTTTAGAAACATTTTAAAAAGTAGGCAAAGCCAAACCTCTTTGGATAGATATTTTACCNAATTAATGTTGCCAATGCAAAATAAGAACTTGATATATTTTTCAACTAAAGCATTAAAACTTTACCCAGAGAAAAAATTCTGGTATAATAATTAATTTTAATTAAGTACATCCATTTCATCAAACCACAATTTTTTATAATTTAAATAAACACCAAACTAATTCCAATTTCTTTACAAAAAGATTAAGCAATTAGATATATTCTAATAGAACAATTTCAAGTTTTTCTTTACATCACTACTGGGTGCATAGGTTTACTTACACAGGAATATCTTACACACCAATAACAGTGTATACTGCTATTGGTGTGTAAGATATTCCTGAATAAAGAGTGATGTTAAAGAAGCAAGTGTCTACCCATGCACCCAGTTGTGAAGTAAAGAATAATTAGAAGAAGACATGGTTTTGGAATAAATTAATAATTTCAAGTCTAATTTCAAAAATATATCAAGCTTTAAACAAATTCTTGTTCAGGAAATAAAGGTAACATTTTATTCATTAGTATTTTTTAAATCTAACATACAAATAGTTTATTAAAAATTTACATTTGATTGAAATTAGAATAAAGAATGCTATAATTATTATTTTACCAAGACTTAATACATACATCAATATGAGATGATTTGGCAAATGCTCCAACCGGATGAACGTGGTCATATAATATAATAACACCAACCATAACCCGAAGAACAAAGAGAACTGTTTCTTCATTTTTAAACCTTGAATAAAATTCCCTATATAAACAATAATTATTATATATAATTTTATAATAAAAATTTACTAAATACTTAAAATACTAAAATCGGAAAACAAATTTTGGCTTCAGTTTTTATGAAAACGGCATCTATTACTTTTGTTTATTTAAAAGTTATTTAATAACTTAAAACCAAAAATATATATTTAATTCAAAATTCAACACTTTCTTTTTTTGTTATGCCCCAGTATTTATTTCTCCACAGCACAAATATTTTTCAGCTCTCTTTACATGCCATCTGCAGATAGCTTTTTAAATTTTAATTATATCAATTCAATAGCATGTTTAATTTGTAAGAGTTAACCACTGGAGGCAATTTGACCAATTGTGATCTGGGATTATGAATGGATGTTCTTTAAAGATTTCTTTTTTTTTCTTTTTATTTAGTTTTCAATAATGTAAATTTTTAAAATCATTCTTCAATTTTATTTCAATTTAATTACAGCATTATTTGCATTTGTGATTTATAGTATAAAAAAAATTATGCTTAAAAAAATAAACTACATCTTAACATGCCTCTGTAGGAAAAAATCTAATGGAGACAGATTGAATGATGATTTTAATCCACCAGATAATCAGTAATTTTACTATTACTAAACTACTGATTATTTTACTAAATTTATTCTAATAAACTAAAATACATTTAATAATTATTTTTGTCTATAAAAATTAGAATTAGTTTATTCTAATGCATTGCATACATTGTTTTAATCATGAGAGGAAAAACCCAAAAACCAAACATTTCTGCAGTTTTAAAGTGCATGATGACTTAAAAGACATCCCTGTACACACAAACACACATATTGATTAGAAACTGTAACCAATAATTGGACTGCAATTTGAAAAAATTGTAGTCCTATAAATTCCGACTGTTGTAGTCCATCTGTCTATCTTTCCTTAATCTTGAGATTGGAGTTAAATAGATGAAATCCAAGACCAGATATGAAAACCTTAGGAGCAGGCAGCCCAGATTAACTATATATGAACTTCCAATGAAAACTGGAAGGCATGTTATTTCAATTAAAAAATTTTTTCCTGAAAGGAGTTAGATAAATGACCAGCATGACTCCATTGTTAACAAAAAAATATGCCATACAGAGGCAAGACACTGCAGTACTAACTTGAGAAGAGGATATATTTTAAATTAAATAAATTAAAAATTGCAGCCCAACATTGTGACAATTTCACAATAAATAATTGATCATTTTAATAATATCACATTTCTCCGAAAATAAGCCTTAGCATGATTTTTCAGGATGCTCATAATATAAGCCCTACCCCTAAAATAAGCTCCTCTTAAGATCATCATCCAGATGGTTGTATTTGATATGCTCATTGCAACCCACAACAGACATACTGAACTATAAAATAACTAGCTGTGCCTGCAGTTTCGCCCACATGGAATTCAGTTTGTGACTATAACAGTATCAGTTAGATGATATCTTTTAATTTATATGAATGTTTTAGGAACGCATACAGGACAAAAGATATTCATTATTTTAAGCGACAACAAATAGGCAAATGTTCAGCACAAGTTCAGACACATGCACTGCGTATCTCATCGACCACAGGACTGCACCGTGCGGTTACCTATCTTGTATACATGCACGTCTTGCCCCGCGCCACCTGCTGACACCAAAAATATAACGCTTACCTAGATGATATCTTTTAATTTATATGAATGTTTAATGGAATAATATACAGCCTATGTCCACCCTGAAGGTCCATTCTAAATATTGGTGAAAGAATTTTTGAAATCGGACGAGTAGTTTTGGAGATTACCTCCTACATCCAAACTTACAAACTTTATCTCTTTATAATGTTAGTATAGATAATATTAATATTGACACTAATACAGATATACCTCGACTTACGTCATTCTCAATTATACGTCGTTTGTCAAAAAATATATGGAAAAATAAAAATCACGTTTAAGTCATTTTATTCGACTTTACGTCTGTCTGCCACAAATGTTAAAGTTGTAATATCACTATAAAAGCGTTAAAGCACATAAAATCATATTAAAATATATACATTTACAGTAAATGTTAATATAATTATCATAAATCTTAGAGAACAAAACATGAAAACGTATGTGTTTCTGTGTTGTCATCTTATTTAGCGGTCTTTAAATGCTCAATGTTGGTGTTTTCCACGGTAGCTCCAACATTACCATTTGGCATCCTTGTCAGTGCCACTCAATATTGGTAAATTTAATATAAATTAGTTTATTTTTTACTGTTGCAAAATAATTTTAATAACTGTATTTGTTATTTAACCTTACAAAATCATCTTATTTTATAATGTCTTGGAGCAAACTACATTCACACATAAAAAGTCTGCAATGTACTGTAAACATCACCAAATTGTAAACATGTACAGTATATTTACAAGTATGTACTGTACATTCATGAATTCACAAAATTTAGATTACTTTTTTCTATACTATATTAAAAACTAAAATTTATTTAAAAATTAAAATAGATTCTTATTAACCATATATTATTAAAAATTCATTTATAAATAAAATACAAAACTGGGAATGGTTATTTGTGGTTTAGCCTAGTGACAAGTAAATTAGACTTAAGTCGTTTTTCGACTTAAGTCGCCTCTCCTGGAACCAATTACAGATGTAAAGTGAGGTATACCTGTACTTACTTAATTATAATTTATATTATTATTTATTTTATTTGTAAATTTTGCAAGTGCCTTTGGATGAGACATCCCCTGAAAATAAGACCTAATGCATTTTATGGAGCAAAAATTATATTAATATAAGACCTGGTGTTATTTTTGGGGAATATTAAATATTGAATGTATGGAATATGCTAAGTTTTATAAATTTCAGTAATTAAAATCAGCATGGAAAACAAACAATAAAACTAAATTATCAATTTTGTTTTGTTTAAACCTTAATATACTTACGGATTTTCCACCATTCTTTGACACACTTTGGCCATTGTACCTAATGTCTCAGTAGTATTTTCTATTGGTAAATCTTTATTTTCAGCAACAAAACGTGTAGTAGCATCACTTAATACTTTCAGCATAGGTGTAGCATGAGCATAGAATAAGGACATTCTATTAGCTAGTTCATTTGGAACTTCTAATTCTTCTTCAATAGGATCCTAATAAGTAAATAAATTATAATTCAACTTAATTCTGTATTTACAATCTGCATCAAATATGAAGTAACTGTTCAAAATTTTGATTTAAAATATGAAATCAGTCATATAATATCAAATTTTACTATTTATTTTTAGAATGTAAGAGTATGTAAAAAAGGATATATAAAAAAATTTGTTAAAGTATAGAATTCATAAATATTAATATAATAAAAAAAAGTCAAAAAAACCTTTAATCCAGCAAGAACTCAAAAAAGTTTTTTGTTATCTTGAATAGTGATCATCAGATTTAAAAATTCTGTGGTGATTGTGTTCTAGAATGTCAGTTTGAAAAACAAATTCTATGCAATGACGTCACATTGTTTGGAGATGTCTCTGCAAACATTTGTATCTTTATATTTATTAAAACATTGGGATTCAGAAGTGACAGACCATGCATCATCCACAGAAGTACATTTATCTGTAGATGATCTGCCATGTATTGGATAAGTTTTCCGAGTTTCTGATTTTTGCAATGACATCACCAAACAGCATGAAGTACTGGAATGAGCACTATACTTGAATTTATTTTTTGAACTGACATTCTAGAACACAAATTCTACAGAACATTCAAACCTAAGACAGTTATTCAAGATAGCCAAAGCATTTGTTTTTTCATGTTATAAGTACCTGCTGGATTAAAGATTTTTTGATTTTTATTTATGTATCAATCAGTTTGATACTATTCTGTTGATATTAATATAATATAATAATAAATAAATTATAACATTACAAAATTTTACATTTTTGAATTTTTGATAAAATTTATTTATCACCATAAAAAATAATTTAATAGTATTACTATTAATAAATATTTAAATAAAAAAGTCAATATTCATCTTACTGTTTTTTTGAAAATTGTAATCCATAATGTATTTTTGTAATATGCTGTCAAAAATCATAAGTTTATCTGTTAGTTGAATCATGTTCCTTTATTGAATTTATACAGATTGCATTTCTTTTTTTACTTATATAAAGAAATATATGTATATGTGCGTGTTTAAAAATGATATATTTAATTATATAATGATGATTATAACCTCCATTATATTATGATGACAATTAAATTTAAAAAAAAAACTTTAAAAATGTTTGCATTTAATCAATTACAAGTCATTATTGCATGTAATTTCCCAAGGTTTTAAGAATTAAAAATTTCGAAAATATTAAAATTAAATTTGTAATCACTTCCAAGAAAAAAGTTATGTTTAATTTATTGAATTAAATATAAGACATCAAAGGATTTAATATATAATGTATTTTTCTATACACAAAAATAAGTTTTGAAGAGAATATTATGTATTATGTTAATAAATTTGTATCTTTTTTGTTAATACTATTGATTAGCAACATTATATATGTTAGGTACAAAGACTGAAAACACTCACTGAGCAAAAAATCAACTGCATTGTGTTCTGACTTCTCAGATCCATCCACAATGCAAATCTTGTTGTGGCACTTTCAAAAATGCACTCAATGCATTTTGGCATATTTAATATGACTGAAAACCAAAATTTGCATTGAAATTCTTTTAATAATTAAACAAAACACATTTTGGCAATATGAAAATGCCATAATATATTGTGGATGCTTATTAATGCAGCCATGACATAATGTGTTAAAAATATCTCTGCTAAAATGTGTTCCTTTTTTTTTGCACAAATACTTTTAATAAATAATTTATGTATAATTTCCACTAAAGGACTAATTCTGAACAATGTTTATTATTAAAAAATATTCATTGAGAAAAATTCCTGTCACAAAACATTATATGATTAAAAAAAAACATACAGTATAACAAAGATTCATTCTCTTCATTTTCTTTTATAATTCACAGTCAAGAAGACAATATGCTGTTAATTGTTTTGTTTATGTGTTTTTGATACCTACATATGATACCTTAAAATCCTAGATACCTAAAAATAAGTATTATAGATTTAAGTCAAATAAGAAATTTATTTGTAAGTCACTTGTCAATTGATTGTAAATTTGTTTTCAATAATGACACTTCCATGAAACGACCATCTCCAAACAAATTTTTATATTAATACTGTTTTAGTAAAACTAATAAGTAGAAGTTTCTATCTTGCCAAAATGGCAATGAAATTTAAGGCTTAGACATAGGTTAATAAGGCTGGCTTCTCAATGTAGATTAGAATTTAATTTTATTCTGAATAATGTAGAAATTTGTTACTTATTTTTCGCAGATATTTTTATCATATCCACATTAATAANTACTGATTTATTCCAATAGAAAATTATTTATCATCTATTTAATAAAAAAATATAAACAGTTTCATTAAACATCATATTGCAAAGAAATTAACAAAATAAAATCAGCACTTTGATATTAAACACACAGTTTATGAAACGTCTGCTTGAAACTTACGAGTACAAATACTTTCATTTAATAGCTAGTGTAATTTGCTTGCATTATTCCTGAGAAGCATTCGTAGCCACCATTGAACAAAACATACATACAATTATAAAATATAATATTACATCAACATTATGGATGCAAATAGCAATTAATAGAAAAATGAAAATGCATATTACTTGTAAAGTATTTTCTAAGGAAAAACTCAAAAATCTGTTCCGTAATTAACAAACAAGGTCACCTTAATTTACTTTTGTCTATAACTATATGATGGTAAAGATTTTATGAAGCAACTTCCTTATCAGTATTAGGCAAAATAGAATATTTTGTAATCACGAAAAAAGCAATTTAACTAGAAATTTAAAAGAAATTGTAACACAAATTATTTGACTTTCCTACTTTCCACTATATTTAAATATTTAAATCAATAGCTTTCAAAAAATAACTGATATTTTAAAATATCTTATGCCAACGATTACATAAAGAAATCAACTGGTTAAATTACCATGAAACATCTTGTATGGATAAAATACATATAAAGAATGTTGAAAATAACTCAAAACAGTATATATATTATTATAATTTCTAAATGCTCTTATCAGTCTTTTTAATGAATTTTAGAATACAGTGGGTGATCAGTTAACAAACATAATCTGTTCCAAGACTTTGTTCGCTATCTGAGTTGTTCGTTAGCCAATTATCATACATTTTTATGGGAATTTGATTAATTCGTTCTGGAAACCCCAAAAATAAAAACATATACTTTCTTACTATGTTTATTTATATGAAATAAGAAAAATACATATATACACAGTCTTGCATTTTTATTAGTCATGTTTTTTCCGTTTGTGGGGGTTAAAAAATCTGTCTAATGTCGATTGCTTTTCTGTCTTCTTCAGGATTTTTCAGAAGTAATTAATAGCACTGTAATTGTAGAGATCCCTAAGCCTATTAACATCAACCTGATTTGTATGCCATTCTAAGACTTTCCCACCTCAAAAAAATGTTTAATAGCAGATATTGACATTAATTCTCTTTTTCAGAAGAAAACATCTCGCTGAGTTTCTTGGTGTTCTTCATTCAAGAGTTCTTGGCATTTTTCTGTCATCAGATCCGTTTCAGGTTCCATTATGAGCTCTTCAATGTTCTTTATTTTTCAGATGTGATTTTTGTTACTCCTTAAGCTGCTTGAGTCTTCTTGATAATACAGTATCTTTCTCAGATAAGATTGAACTGTAGCCTGTAACCTGTTCAAGCCATACTGCCCAGCAGCAACAGACATCAGACACATCTGAAACATACTGCCCATCTGCCCACTCTCTACCTTTGCTATTATACTCTCACCTTTCAAAAATAAAAACCGACGCAAAACTTAACAAGTGCTCACCCGACAGTCTCAGGAATACTATAAAAAAAATGTTTCTGTCAGAAAAATAAAAGACTGGAATTACAAGGGAGAGTTTCAAAGTTCGGAGGAATACTCTCCAATCAGTATATACTATCAGCATCAATGTTGACATCTCCTGTGATCCAAAAAGTTTCAAACTGTTGTCTGAAGACAAGGGAAGATCAATCAGTATTCATTATTTTATGTTGCTTCTTCTTGTGTTTGCTCTGTGAGGTGTTTGTTATCTGATCATGTGTTTGTTGTCCAAACAAAAAAATCTTTCATGAAAGTATTCGTTATCCGATTTGTTCGTTAACCGATCACCCACTGTACTACATGAAATTTTTAATAGTATTTAAGCTTTTAGAAATATTTTTCTAACTTTTTTAAAAATCTATCAGTCAAATAATTTTCTAATGACATTCTAATGACAATTTTGAAAATCATTGCATCAAAATTTTTGTCTTATATAGTCAAATTTTATCTTTATAATACAGTGGTACCTCAGGATACAAACGCCCCAGCATACGAAATTTTCAGGATACGACATGAAATTCGAACATAATTTTGCTCCACGGTATGAACAAAAACTCACCATACGATGTTACATTAGTACGCAGCGCCATTTTTTATTCACTTCTGTTCATTGGTCTCAGTCCGCTTGTTTGCTTCGTCGTGGAAGGATCTCGCTCGATAAAAGAAATCTTGAGGTATTATCAGAAAGTGCCTGATTTTATTGAAAAGAAACATCCCGGAAAGGTTCACACTGGCCGTATTGCTGCTCGGAGTAATGACATTTGCNAGCTGAAACTCCTAGAGAATTATTCAGGATGGACAACTTCCAGGCAGCAGAAAGCCTGTAAATATGTAGATAGCATATCATAAAAGATAAAGTTAAAAACAGTGATTCACTATATATTCTACAGACATGGTTAGGAAGAAAAAAAGGCTTAACAGTTCTAAAAATAATCTAGTCTATGACCTTGACAGGAAGTTGATGAAAGTTATTTTTCTTATTATCATAAGGTTAATGTACAGCAGTGTTTATTAATTAAAGACATATTTAATTGGTTTTTTTTATTCCTATTATCCCATCATTCATTTTTTTATTAATTATTATACTATTATGGTTATTTATACATTTACAATTACAAAACGCATTTTTCAGTGTTTTCCTTACTAAAGTTATTTTTTTTCAAT